TAGCTAATTGCAAGTAAAATTCTTTTTCGATGATGTCCTTTAAAAAAAACTTTGATAATTCTAACTTTTTTTCTGTCTTTTATTAGGATAACTGAGAGATTGAATTTTTCTGGTAATAGCACATTCTGTGGGGAAGTCAATATGTCTCCACAAACTTACCTCATTTTGTTGCCCTGTCAGACATGCAATAATCGAGCAGTGAGGAAATGGACTGTCAACCAGAATCTCCCAGATTAGGATTCCTGTGTGGGCAGGGAAAAATCTGAGAAGTTTTAAAGTCCCCAAAGTGCTAGAGATGTTTGTTTGCATAATACAATATAAGGAGTTTGGGTGCTCATAAAAAAAATACTTGATGGTTGAAATTTGATGAAGACTGCCATGGCAAAATTCTCCTCTCTGGCATTTTTTTGTTTTGATAATATAAATATTTTTTTTTTTCAGTTTTATTAATTTGATTTTCATTGGATAGATGAACTTAATTAACCTGTCATCGATTGAAATAGAGAATTTAATTTTTCAGCATGGATTATTAGTGTTTAATTATTGTGTGAAATTGAACATTTTAAATTGTGTTTTAATTATATAGATAGAACTTGCTTCGAAATTTTATACCCTTAGCTTTTTCATAATTCAGAACAATTATTAGAGGTTTAATTTTGTGCTTTGCTTTTCAGATGAACCATAATGTGAGGACAGAATTTTACGATTGTGATTGACTTTTGACTAGAATAATACAGAAATAAAGTCTTATTACCATCAAGAATATAATGTGGCTCAAAAAAATAAATAGTGTATAGCATGCACTAGGGTGTTTGAACAATCATAAAGCCACAAGACTTTCACATTTATAGCAAAACACTCACCCACACATCAGTATTATTAACTTTAATAAACCTGTGCAATAAACAGGTACAGAATATATTAATCTGTGTCTAATCTGCCTTTAACTTAAGTATATCCATTTGCTCTGCTATAAAAACATAAAGGGTTAGTTTAATGTCAATAATTTCACATATTATTAGATTCACTTATTCCATGTGTTTAAAATTAACATTCAATATTTTATTCAAGTCTTTGGAGAGTGAGGAATATCTTGCAGACTACAGTATAGTCAAGTTGAATCGCGAAAAGGAGTATTGGTCCAACATGAAGTATTTACAAAAATGTGATCGCTTGAAAATTTGAAAATTCGACATCCTATGCAGAATGGGAGTCGCCTATAATTACGCTAAAATCTTTTGATGGTCATCTTTCCAATTTAATTGAATCCGTTATCTTTTAATTTTGTTTTCTTAATTAAATGTTAATCAATTTGAATACATTTTAGCGTGGATTAAGTTGAAGATTGACCAAAAATGCAATCACAAATTCAAATAAATCTTTTAAGATGAAGAATTTTAATATGGGCAAAATTTTGATTTTATATTGCACTTGTATCCTTTCATTGAAACTATCAGAAATTATGTTAAAATTTTAACCCGTAGAATTATATATTATAAAAAATATTTGTACAAACTTCTTCTCACTAGCAGAGTTGAGGGTGTATTGAGTTTAAAGGTAGATGGAATATAAACAGATGTGAACACTGAGAATAAAATTAAAGCAATAAAATAGGGATGATAAAGATGAATGGCATGTGTAGGATAATGTCTGAAGGGATTTGACAATAGGCAAGCTAAAATATTTGATGCATTAAATAATTGGAAATTTTCAAACCTGTGTTGCAAAAGTTATGTTGACTTTGAATAAATTAAGTTAAATTTCAAAAACAAATTAAAATGGACTGTCACCTAAATTAAGAATCTTACAAAATGCAGTTAAAATATTTGAATTAAAAAATGGTGCATTAAAAGTTTGTATCATTCTTATTGCCAAACAAGAAAAATGCTAAAAGTTATTTTAATCATGAAAGTTATTTTTGGACATTCAGATTCAAAAACATGCGGTTGATTACACTAATTTTAAAAAAGTAATGCATTTACAATTCTGTTTGGTTTAGTTGATGAAATAGTTTATAGTTCAACGGATAGTAAAATAATCCACAGAAGAAAGGCTAGTTTCTAATAGACATCCCATTAAAATAAAAAAAAAGGGTAACAACCAAAAGATTCTATTTTATTGTCAAGACTTGTAATTTTACTCTGATTCGGCACAATCAACTCAAAACTTCTCTAAAGAATGGGTTGGCTTGTATGGAAAATATATGTATCTTGGATATATGAACTTGGCGGTTTAAAGGGACTAAACCTCCAACTTAGTATTATCCATATTATTCAAAACACGAACTAGAATACAATTTTTGTCCATTTCAATCACCATGGATGATGTTAGCTTGCTGTGAAAATATGAGATCCTAATTAATATCTAACGTTTAAGACAAATGACCATTTTAAAATCGGTACACAACTCGTGCATTGTACTCTATGGTTTTGAGTGCCTTTTGTAATTTACAAGACAATGCGGAATTAATTAAAAATGGCTGACACAAAATCAACAATTTTTTTTTTTTTTTTTTTTTAAAAACGTGTAGAATGGACTAAGTAGGCACAAACTATTGCCATTCAATTTGGACCTTTTTCAACAAAAATAATTGATTAGAGGTCGGGTGTTCGATCCCTGCATTGGCCGAGTAATTTCAACCAGATTTTCCGCCGTGGTTCCCCCTTGTCAGTTATGCAGGACGGAGGGCCTGACAAGGACAGCTGTCTAGTCGTTCGGATGGGACGAAAAACTGAGGTCCTGTGTACACATTGGCGTGCTCGTGAAAGATCCTTTGACAGTTGGAATTCAATATAAGAGGAGGCAAAATTTCCCTCATAGCACACTGTATGACGTATGCCCGTCTTCATTAGCCCAGTTCGGAGCAGAACAGTATGACGTTAAACCCCATTTCATTTCATTTCCGCTTTTAGACCTGTCATTTATTTGAATTTTCCAAAGAATAGAGCTATACGCCCTTTTAAAATCAATAGGTACAATATAAATAATGTAATTGATAACCATAACTTAAAACTCAACTAAAAATATGTTGCCTTGTAAGTTGTATAGAAATTATTTACCTCAGAAATTGTGATGGCGACATAAAATCAATAGGAAATGTTATAAACCATTTGGAATTGACTGATTTTAATCATTTTTTAACCAATGCTGTCATAATCTTTATGTTTAACTTTTATAAAGATGTGTTAGCCCTTTAATTAAATAGAGATAAAAGAAAGAAAAAAGTAAATCATTTTAGGAGAATTTTCTTAAAATGTATGTTTTGTTGTCTGGCAACCTATCTTGAAGTGACAGTCCTATAAACTTATATTGTCAAACTTTTAGATAAAGCATTGAGCTAAACTTTAAAGGTGCATTATATAAGATTAAGATAAAGAGTGGGTCATATTTGCTATAATAGTACAAAAATCTAAAATGTAATATGAATAAATTGAAAATTTCATTCAAATTACTTTATTCTGAGTAAAGTTATAATTTTTAGAAGTTTTGACAAAGTCTTTATTGTCAAGTAATATTGCTACAATGGTAAACAAAGTCTTGATGATCCATTTTAACATTACATTATTAAATGACGAAAGTGTTGTAATCCATTCAATATCATGACCATCTAGTGGTCTTTAGAGTTGATTATGGGCGTGTTTTGTGAATAAATGCCCAATTAATTTATATAACACTTGAAGCCAGAAAAAATACCTGTGATAGGCAGATTTAACTCTTACATAATGCATCTTTAATAGGTTACCAAATAATACAAAAAAGTCAAACCAAACATGTCTCTTTAAATGAATGTCATCCATAAAATTCCTGGTAATAATAAAATTGCTGACTCATCATTTAGTCAAAATGGTATGAATTTAAAATGAGAACTGAACTCCTAAAATATGAATAAATTAAAACTACAATATAGATAAACATAATATAAAGTCATAAAAAAATCTAGTTTAATGACCAGGGTAGTCAGATGAGGGAGAATAATCTATTAATTAACCCAAGTAGATGCGACACATATCAAGAGAGATCATAATTGCAACATGACAAAATTAGTTTAATTGTGGATGAGACGAAAATCAAAAAAATGCACACGACTAACTCCAAAAATAAACAAGACATCACAAAGGAAACTTACACATGATTTGATCTGCTGAAGCAAATTTTCACTTCACATATCCTCCCTTTGTTTATCAAATTTACATGGTGCAGTACCTGTGACTGACATTGTAGACTATCACTATCTTTTGTTCTTTCTGGCTGGGTAGCCTGGAGGTCCCATGTTCGATCCCATTGTTGGCGGAAATAGTTCATCTTGATTTTCCGACATGGTTCCTCCTTGTCAGTGGTGCAGGACGGAGGACATGGCAAGGGACGATGTATAGTTGTACGGATGAGACTAAAAACTAAAGTCCTGTGTACACATTTCCCCTCATGGCACACTGTATATTGTGTGCCCATTTTCATTAGCCCAGTCGGAGCAGAACAGTTGGACATTAAACCTCATTTCATTTTATTTCTTTCTGGCTGATTGTTGATGAGTCTAGATGATCAGATTTGACATTATAATGTGCGTCTCAAGCTGATAAAAGTACAACAGTGGGCTCAGCTCTTCCAAACGATACAGCTGCAAGTTGATGAAATAATATCGGATGCTCCATTGCGTTTGCAAAAATGAAATGCTGGATTTATCCTACCAATCGGACAAAAATATATAATGCACTGATTGTGCTCACTTTAACAAAATACTATTAATTGATATACATTGATCATTAAATCAATACGATTATGAGTAAATGTTTTTGTACTGGCCATGTCTGTGCCCATAGATAGTACTGAAAAGCTTAGGTCTAATGCAATTTTAATGGGACTTTCCATGTAACCGACTGAAACTTCATGGAAAATGGCTCTTAATGTTTGACTTTCCAGCCGTTAATTAATTTTGTTTAAATATTGTTTGTTGTGTGCTTCATATCTATGTTGTTTCATTTGGATTTATTTTATTGTTTCAGGTATGGAAAGTGGTGTGTTCGAGAAACTGTCGACTTGAAATGTTCTCTAGTTAGAAATGGTATAAAACTTAATTTATTGATTGAAATTAAAATTAAATAATAAAAAAAAGAAATAAAACGCATTTATAAACAGTCAAACTGTCATATCACATTAACATTAGACAAAAATACACTTTTATAGAAAATGAATAAAAAGCATTTCTCCCATAACATTAAACAACACAATTGTCCCGTACTATAAAATATTGATATCATTGGACTAAAACTTTTCAGACTGATCGTGAGACCTCTTTGAGCATTTTCCAATAAATTGGCAGTGGTGGCCCTCCCCAATCTTTAGACAGATTAATCTTCTATAGTACCAATTGTGTGTCCTGCAAAATCAAATAGCCTTGTGTGAAACTTTGGCATTGCCTTGTATTTGAACATAGGATTCTTGAATAAAATGGATCCACCATAATATACCGTAAAAAAAATAGTACATGTTAAGTTCTCTGTGGAATCCATTCCGGATCCATTCTAGATCTCTGAAAAAGTTATAACATCTACAGCTAATAGAGCAACACACTTGACTGTTTACATGGTTTCTGATCAATGTGTTCTGATCAAATAATGCACTACCATCCTTACATAAATGGACAGTGAACCCTCAATTGCCTGTGGTTCGATTCCATATTTACAGATCCACCAAGTCTGGAAATAAGGTACCTGTCACAGATATTGTCAGACACAAATTCAGCCTTCATCAGCCACTATCCCCTCGTTGTGCTAGGAGACAGAGTTGTTTTCAGATATCCTTTTGTTACATACATATCCCACATAACATTAAAAATACCAGGCATGTTTTCATTAGTGTTGGATGTAAATGAAATGGGTTTACCGTCCTACTGTTCTACTGGGTTATGCAGTGTGCAATGAGGGAATTTTGCCCAGGCAGCGGCACTACGGCCAACCCTTATTTCGAATATTAACTGTCAAGGGTTCTTTTATGTACATGCCAATGTGTATACAGGACCTTGTTTTTTGTCCCATCCGTATGATTATACAGTGTTCTTCGCTAGGCTCTTCATCCTACATCATTGACAAGGAGGAACCACGCCGGAAAATCACAAACTTTCTCGGTCAACTCTGAGATCGAACAAGGGACCTCCAGGTTAGAGAGCCAACGTCCGACCCACTGGGCCACCATGGCTCCCAATTACAAAACATGTTATCGCGTAGGATGTACATAATACAACTGCATTCTTTACTATGACAACTAAGTCCACATGTAACTCATTACTATTCATATACAAAGATCATGAATATTCATGTTAACACTGGACATTTTGACTGTTACATCTAAAATTATTTCTTGAATTGAATAGATAACAATACAGGCTTACATACCACTGCCTTGGTTTTAACCAGCCACACGACTATGAACATCGGAGGTTTTACTTTACAGTTTTAAGTATTTTGTATAGTTTGGCGTATTCGTAAGAAATTTTTTCGAAAGATATGACAATATTTAACATTACCATAATTTGTTAAATTGCTTTGATTTTTTGGGTGTTTGTACACTTAAAAACTGTCAATTTAACTGTATTTATTGTGTTTTTAAGATTAAATTCTTTCAAATTCTATGACATGTATATTGACTGACAAGTATATTCTCTAGCTGGTCATTTTCACTATAAGTCAGTCAAGACTTGTAAATATGGCTGAAACGAGAGCCCAGATTGACATGTGTATACATCTGTTTAATATAGGTTGAAAGAAAACTGATGCGTCCAAAACGTAAGATGACAAATTCAAATTCTAATACCATGTTTAAAACGGTCGTTATCCCTAAAGTTGTCGGGGATAGAGTTTTGGTAGGTTTTCAATATTAGTTTGAATATTTTTTTTTTTTTTTGCAATTTAACCCGTTTGTTGCGTTTCTTGCACCTTTCATCACCCACATTATTGATTCATCCTTTTCTTTTTTAGCTCTCTAAACCTTAACATATTTAATCATTATTTTTTGATAAAAAAATGATCCTTCTGGTGTCCCAAATCTTTACCAAGTAGAATCCTGAAGATGTAGACTTAGAAAAGTATGACATCAAATTTCAGTTCAGTTCAACCCAACTATTATTTTGCCCTACTTGTACAGAGAGAGTAAAATAATTGAGGGTTGGGTGAAATGGACTGAATTTTTTAACAAATCATCTAGGAATTCTTCATTCCCCTTCGTCCCTCAATGGATCCTGAAGGCTTATCCAATCAATGACTTCCTTGATAGGCATTTAGAAATTGAACCTATTAACACAGGGTACAATATTATGGATATACAATTATTAAAAATATTAGGGTACTCATAGTCATATGCTCTTGATTCCGGGAGGGGGGGGGGGGTGTTGGTGGTTAAATGTGTGTGCATGAAATCAGAAGACCTGTCATTGAGTCAAGTGGTGTGGTTTCAATTCCCCTCTTGTACATGACAAGGAATAAGATTTCCTGTGATTTTTCTCCCGGTTCTCCGGTTTCCTTCCACTGCTCATGTCTGCTATGCGCAAGTGAATTATTGAAATAAAATTGAACCACAAGTCAAGTATTATTCTTGTTGAAACTTTGCACAATAATAGCCCAGTAATTGTGTGCCCATTCAATTGTACCTTGTGTTATTCAATTATTGTCTTGTGGGATTTTCAAGGTGTAACTATTACTGGTAATGGGGCTGACATGTTATATTAATACCCATGGACCAGTTATTTAATGAGAAAATAATCACTTGGTATTAATTATGCACATTTGTTGTCGGTTTTACTAACACACTCCAATGTGTAATGTAACCATCTTGCTTAGAAACATTATTTTTCACAGAAAATCAATCTTGGTTTGCCATCTTTAAGGACACTAAGAAGGCAGAATAAAGATTTTAAGACCATAAGACCATACATGATAAAATGTACTTTAAAATAAACACATTCATTTATACTTTGTTTAAGATTTATCTCTTTTTTGACATCATCTTAACTATGCTGCTAACACTTAGAGGTTGTTGTATGAATAAATGCACAATTCTATATTTTTATTAATGAGGAGTTTATAAAGTGATGATGTGTATTTTCCGTACAATATACTGCTTTTCATTGCTTACTATTTAAAGATACATTGTGTAAGAGCTACTTCTGTCTATTGCTGGTCTTTATTTTAGCTTCAAATGTTATATAAACTATCATTTAGACATTTATTCACAAGACATGCCTATAATCAACTCTTTAGATTATCGGATGGCGGAGATTTAAATAGATTGAAACAGGGTCGCCATTTAATGATATTATTTAAAAATAGTGAATCAAGGGTTGGTCTTGATTAACAAGTACCTTTGCTACGATAATAAGCCATCTATGCCACATCTTGTGATAACAGTGATCATATCGCTCAGAATAAAGTAATTTGAATGAAATTTTCAATACATGTATATTCATTTGACATTATCTATTTTTGAACTATTATTAATATTACAGCAAGAAGGACCAGCTCTTTATCGAAATCTTACATAATGTATCTTTAATTAAGATTAAGAAAACAAAGTAAAAATAACAACTGTAGATATCTCCCAGCTTGTATTCAATTGGATTAAAAAGAGGCCCAACAAAGGATTTTACCTCACCTCATGAAGAAGATGCTGAATGTTGAGGTCTTTTAATCCATCATATCTTTGGAAATACTGAAAAGAATTGTACACTTTTTGGACTGATTTTCCTTTTAGAGTCTCAACTTTCACAATATGGTATAGGATTCAAAATTGATCAAATGATCAGATTAGTTTTAATTGAATTTTAACCATTTTGTGTTGATATATTTCAGGCACCAATAGATGCCCAACAGTTATTAAATGCCCTGGCCCCGTTACTAGCATCAGATGGTAGTATCAAGGGACCAGTGGAAGCCTCTCGCATCAGTAGGTGAGTACAAATATACTACTTCCATCAATTATTTAAAATTTTGTCTTTAGAAATTGATTTATTTATGAGCCATGAAGATTCGGATGGGTACCTGTTGGCGCCACATGCACGTATCCAACTCTGTTTATTCTGATACATAAGGCAGCCGCGGTGGCTCAGTGAGTAAGATGCTGGTTCACTAACCTGGAGGCCCCATGTTCGTTCTCTGTGTTGGGTGAGAAAGTTGTTCCCCCTTATCAGTGTTGCAGGACAGGGGGCCGGTAAGATACAATGTACAGTCCTTCGGAGGTGACGAAAAACCGAGGTTCCGTGTCCGAGCAAAATTACCCTCATAACACACAGCACTATGAATGTTTATCTTCATTATCCCAGTCAGTGCAGAAAATATGACATTAATTAAACCCCATTTTAATTTCATTCTGTATATTTGTTATTTCAGTTTGATGAAAGATGCATACAAAATGGTGAGCAAGTGTGTATATTTAAATATACTAAAAATAACCAGCGACCCACAGACATTAGAAAAGTAAGTTTTAGTAAATAATTTAATGTTTATTCAGTTAGTCATCATTAATCAGCCTTGCAACATACTAATTGTTGAATAATCTAGAAATTGTAACAGTTTATGTTCTTATACTTAGAATATTCTTGAATAACAGCCATTTTGGTAACTTGCGAAATTAAAGAATTAAACTTTTCATACATATCTAAGAAATTTGGAGGTTGGTAAGAGTCAGTACATTTGTAGATGACCATAATATAATATAGTATGTTTTATCCCTATACAAAGACTGTATGCGTTTATAAATTAAATATCAAATTGCTACTTGTAAATGACCATAATGCATTGACTTGACGTGGTATTGTTTTATATTAAGAATTAAGTACCAAATTGCAACATGTAAATGACCATAAAATAGCATGTTTAACGCCATGCAAAGGCTGACTGGATGTGCTATGTTAATTGTAAAATGTGTTTTTGATCTGTTGTAGGTTTATAGCAGTGGGAGGATGGGAAACCCTAAACGACTGGTTACAGGAATGCAAGGTTCCAGAATATAACGGATTTCTTATAGAAGTTTTAAAAGTATATAAAGAATTACCTGTTACCATAGATTTATTGAAGAAAAATAATGCTGCTAAAACAATCAAACAATTAGCTAAATCAGATGTTGATAGTAAGTCGAGAACCAAATATTTCAAAATACAACCCACTCCCCCACCTTGACCCCCCAACTCCCACCCTAAATTACACCCCCAACCCCCCACAAATCTCAAAGTGATGGCTCATTAGCCTGGAGTTGTTGGATTTTCCGGCATTGTTTCCCCTTGTCAGTTGTGCAGGACGGGGAGGGCCTGGCAAGAAACAGTGTCTAGTTATTCGGATTTCAAAATTCTGAATCACAATGTTCATGTGTCTTGAGAAATTTTAAATTATCTTTCTCAGTCATTCCCTATTTTAATGTCTTTCCTTAATTTAATTGTCTTTTCTACCCTCAATCCAGATTTTGATTTTATTAATTATCTTTTCCGCTGTCAATTATTATTTTGATTTTAATTATCTTTTTCACTATGATTCAGTATTGTTTTGTTAAGGTAAATGATTATTCTTGTATTGTAGATATTAAGATATTATCAAGTCATATTATTGACAGTTGGATGAAAACAGTTAGAGAAGGCAAGGCTGAAGATGGAGGTAAATAATTAATTCTAATCTTTATATTTTGATCACACAAAGAATTGTCCTTATTTGAAATACCTGTCTTCATTAGCCCGGTCAGTACAGAGAAGTAGGATGTTTTGAAATGCTAGGAGACAGAATAATCAAGACTACTACATACCCCTTCACGCAAGCGAATTATTGAAATAAAATTGAACCGTGTGTTCGTAGTTTATGTCAGGTGGATGTTAAACTCCATCTCTCTCTCTCTCTCATACTGACACTGGTGAGGGTCATAATACTTAATGATATTTTATTTTATTTTATTTTTCAGAGAAAAAGAAAGATAAAAAGAGAAAGAAAGAACATTCCAGTAGTAAAGATAAAGATAAAAAGGATTCTACAAATAGTGACTCAAATTCCAATCATAAACATGAACATTCTAGTAAACATGAACATTCTAGCAAACATGAACATTCTAGTAAACATAGACATAATAGTAGTGAGGAAAAAACATCCAAAAAACCTAAAACTGTGAAAACATTAGCTAGTAAATTTAGATCTACAGGTGAGTCATCTTTTCTTGTTTATAGATGCATGATGTAAGATTTAGATAAAGAGCTGGCTGTTCTTGCTATAATAATTCAAAAATAAATAAATGAACATATTGAAAATTGCAGTCAAATTACTAATTTCTGAACGAAATTATAAGGTTTTGAGGTGTTCACTATATAGATATAATCTCCATTGTCAAGTACCATTGTTATGTTAATAAACGAAGTCTTGATTATCTGTCTATATTAAATAGTGATCATGTTTCAATCCATCATACTAATCTCACACGTTTATTTTTTAATCTTTTTTTTTTTAAAGACGAGTTGTCTACTGATAAAAAATTGTCTTAAACTGTTACAGAAAGTCTGCAATTCAACAGTCTAATGTATAACTAAAACAAGCCAACATCACCTGAACAATTCGAGTACATTTTATCATTTAAACTTTCAAAAGTTAGATACTGTGTGAAATGGCTGATTGGAAGATCCCCTGACATTTTTGTAGAATTATTTAATCGTATTGTATGTTTTGTTTATTCATAGGGTTAGAAGATCAAACAATTGTTCCTGTTAAAAAGAAAACAATTGGTGATATTAGACCATTCCCTGTTTTACCTAAAAGACCGTAAGTTTTAATTTTGGTCCCAAGTTCACAAAGTATTCTCAGACTTGAATTAAGAATTTAATCAAAACTGTTTCTAATTTTAACTACAATATAGCCCCTTATAAAACTTTTGTTGTTTTAATGTATCAAATACATCAATAAGAAACTGCAAATTTTTGTGTTTCTGGATCAAAGATATTTCTCATAAACAATGATTGAAAGTTGAGTAAATTATGTCTGAGAATGTTAGCCAATCAAAAGAAGTCTTGTCTATGATAGCACCCTTGGTGGAAGTGGATGTAAAACTCCAGGAACGAACGAACCAATCAAAAGATTGCATTCTAATGTTTTAGTTTAAGCGTTCGAGAATAATGTCCCAGATCTTCATTTGCATGCAGGCATTAAGAAATATTTTATCATATTTTAATTTCGTGTTATTTTGACAGGGTTAATAGTGAAGAACCGGTTGAGAAGAAGCCTCGTTTAACGTTAACTATACCAGTACCTCCATCTTTATCCACAACGACAACTCAGCCTACATCAACTAGTCCTGTAAATACATCACCTCCAGAAGTTACACACGGAAAAATCAAAATAATTCCAGCTAAAAGACGTAAGTCGACATACATTTAAACATTCAGTGACTTATTGGAGAAAGTTTTTCGGGATTTTCTAGCGTGGTTTCCACTTCTCAGTTGTGCAGGACAAAGGGCCCAGCAAGTAATAGTGTCTAGTCATTTGGATAAAATGTATAATTGATTGGGACGTAAGTTTTGAACAGTGGTTAGAAAATTAGACTATTTTTACAAATTTCAAACAAAAATTTCATCTTAAACATATGTGAAAGAAATTAGGGCTAAATACGCAAGATTAAATGATACCCAATTTACAAAGTTCCGTGTTGATAAAACTATATTTTTCATTTTTAGTTCCCACCCATGAGATACACGAAGATTCCGGTTTTATGGATAGTATATCCAGGGCACCTCGTTACGGTCAGGTAAAGAAAAAGAAAAAATTAACATCTCCTGTATCAACATCAGCACCTACTACAACAGCATCTACTGGTCCTCCACAGTTACAACCAGCTATTCCAAATACCTCGCCTACATCTGCTACTAGTCCTATATCACCAACTGTTTCCATGGCTCAACGATTACCATCTGTTCCCTCAGTAAGTAGAAACAAAACAAAAAAACCATTAGATTAGATGACAGAGTAGTCCCCACATTAATCAGATTGTGGGTTTGGTGGCCGTATGTTTTAATGCATGTGTTTTAGATCACGAGGTGTGTCATTGATTCTAGCACTGTGGTTTCAATTCCCCACTTGTATGTGACAAGGAGTAGAGTTGACTGTTCTACCTCATGGGGTTTCTCCAGGCCCTACGGTTTCTTCCCACTGCTAAAGACCCTTACGTACAAGCAAATTATTTGAATGAAAATTGAACATGTTAGTCCCAAAATGACCTAGTTTGTGTCAATTTCCAAACGGAATATGATCTGATCTTGGATCTATATTGTATAAGTATAATTTTAATACAATTATGTTTTCTTTTGTGCTTGATAAAGATAAGAGGATACTTATTGAAACTTTGTGCATGTATATAATAAACCAGTGATTGTTCTGACATGTTGTCAATCTCTAAATGCCACTAAAGGTTTAATTTATTTTGTAGTTCTATAAAGATACGTTAGAAACTGTAGAAGAACCTGCTAGTCAAGAGATGAACGAGAGAAGTCCGTCACCCATAGAACTTAATCCTGTTAATCTACAGATGCCGTTACTATCTCCAGAACGTCCAGTCACACCAACAGATCAAGATTTGGATAATAAACCAGAACAAGATGGTGAAAATAAAGAGGGTAAGTTGATTAAAACTATGCAACAAAATATTCAATCATGGAAGGAATGACGTAGTTACTGCTAATTTTAATGCTTCTGTCAGACAAGCGTCAAGGGCACTGGACTTGTAACTGCAATATACGGTGGGTTGGAAAAACAAAACATTGGGATGTTTCAGTTGTCAAGGGTAACACCTGCAAGGGAAAATGTGCATAGTCTTGAGCATTTGATGGAAAAGCGTGGCCTTCTCCGAGCATACATTGGCATGCACATGAAAGATCCCTTGGCATTTAGAAATTAAAGAAGAGTAGGTGAAAATTACCCCACATTTCACACGTATCCATAGAAATATTTCCAACAACTAATGTGTTGTGTCCTTCAAATTAATATGATTCTCAAAATTAACTTTATGATTTTCTTTGTGAAAATTAAATTACAAAATTTTTAAATCTGGTATATATTTCTAAAATGAATATTACATTTACAGAACCTAAAGGTGATGGTGTTGACGATGATGGTGAACAGAAAGGATTATTGACAACGGGTCCAACCAAGAAAAAGAAACCAAAGAAAAAATTACGTTGGGCTGATGAAAATAGATTACGTCAATTCTTTTATTTTGAACTAGATGAAACAGAGAGAGGTAAATTTATTTACATTTCAGATCATCCGGTCTGTCATTGTGTGGTTTCGATTCCTGCTTGTACGTGAAAAGCAGTAATGATGCCTGCCTGTGTTCTCCGGTTTCCTCCAACTGCAAGCGGATTGTTGAAATAAAATTGTGTCGCGTGGACGTTAAACCACATTTTTCTCTACTTGGTTATAATAATAATTGGTTTAAAGTGAACTTATTAAATCTAATTTTATCAATTATTCTATTTCAGAAAATGTGAATAGACCCAAAGATTTCAATAGTTTAAAGAAAGCTGAGAGAATGATGGAAGGAAGGGTATGATTCTTTTATAACTTTATATCTCAAATACATTGAAACAAAATAGAAATTTTGTTAAAACTTTGGTGATAACTTTTAGCCCATGCCTATTAAAGATGAGTGAGGCAAATTGAAAAGGGCTCCATTGTTTCCTTGAGCATCTCTCATAAACAGCTTGATGTCTTTTGAAACTTTGTACACAAATCAACCTGTTAATAGTATAGTGGTTTGTTCCTATTGCTATTTAGTAATTTCTTGGATTTAGTAAGGTTTGTGTTTCCATGGAAACAAATTTGAGTTAGTGTTTCATATACAATTATTATTCTGGGATGCCTGACAACATGCACACTACTAGTATTTAGTTGATTTACAATAACACAGAGATTGTCTACCCCTGTACCTTCCAAAACATGTCATAGGGCATGGGATGTTGATCACAGAGTTCTGTCTTCTGGTTATTGTTTGTAATGTGGTCTTCCTACACTTAAGATTGTATACCATCCAAAACATGTCCAATTGTGTAGGATGTTGATCACCAAGTTCTGTCTTCTGTTTTTTTTGTTTTTATATTGTGTAGAGAGATTGTATATCCTTCCACCTCAAACATGTCTAATTGCATAGGATGTTGATTCATGAGTTCTTTCCCACTCATTCATTTCAATATTTCAATAATGTACGATTGGCATATTGCCCGTACCAGTATTCGAAATAATGGTATGCCAACATCCAAGGATTAAGTCACACTTGTATTTTATTGATGTATATAGTATATGATTTTATTGTTGTTTCAGGCAATGGATAATGCTAGAAGAGTAAGTCATGATAATCAACAAGAAACAGTGCCGGTAATTAACACTATTTAATTTAAAAACATTTAATTGTTTTTATTAAACTCTTCAAAACATTTAATTCTTCTTATTAAACCCGTCAAAACATTTAATTCTTCTTATTAAACCCGTCAAAACATTTAATTCTTCTTATTAAACTCTTCAAAACATTTAATTGTTTTTATTAAACTCTTCAAAACATTTAATTCTTCTTATTAAACCCTTCAAAACATTTAATTCTTCTTATTAAACTTGTCAAAACATTTAATTGTTTTTATTAAACTCTTCAAAACATTTAATTCTTCTTATTAAACTCGTCAAAACATTTAATTCTTCTTATTAAACTCGTCAAAACATTTAATTCTTCTTATTAAACTCGTCAAAACATTTAATTCTTCTTATTAAACTCGTCACAATATTTAATTGTTCTTGTTAAACTTGTCAAAAACATTTAATTCTTTCATTAAACTCTTCAAAACGTCCTCGTTTTCTGCACAGACTTGGCTAATGAAGACAGGTTTTTAAACGTGCACTAGGCCTAAGGCATGTTTTCCATGTACGTGTTTTGCGGTGTCTCCGCTTGCATTTTCACCAGTTACATGGAAACGTTTCCATTACATTTGCATCAAACTGATTTTTTTACCAGCGAAAACCGGTACATGGAAAACGTGGCTAATTCTCGACCCAAATAATTTTTATTAATTGATTGAATGCAGTTATGTATTATATTAATATTATATATGTTATATTTTGTAGTGGCGTAAACCGGAGTTATTAGATGGTTTAGTAGAAGTTGTTATACCAGGTGGTAATAGTACAGATAGAGATATACAGAAACAGAGAGAACAGGGTGTTTTACAAGCATTGTTCTTCTCTAAAGCCATGTAAGTTTTACTAAGTTATATTCCCTATCTTTAAAAAACATGTGGGAGCGGGGGTGAATGGTCCATGTATGGACCTTAGATCAAAAGATCTTTCACTAAGCCATGTAAGTTATATTCCCTTTCACTTTTATTTCAATAATTCGCTTGCGTGTAGGGGTCTTTAGCTGTGGGAGGAAAACAGAGGTTGGACAGGCGATCCTACTTCTTGTCATGCCACTTGACTCAATGACAGACCTTGTGATTTCACACATACACATCCACGAGACCACTAGACCACCCCTACTTAAAGCATGTTTGTAGTTGATATAGTTAAATTGAGTAGTTTGTAAAAATATCACTATATTTTTAGGTTACCTGATACACCAACTGAACCAGATTTAGAATCTTTTGAAGCAACAGAACCTAAAAATATTCCACTAGAAGATGTAAGTTTTGTGTTTCATATCTATATTGGATTTTTAATCCTACTCACCAGATATCTCAATAACACAATTCTCAATCGGCCTTCCTTAATTTATTCAGGGAGGGACGGTGGCTAACTGTGTAAAACACTGGCTCGCTAGCCTGGAGGTTGCAGGTTCGCTCCTGGTGTTGGCTGAGAAAGTTCACCAAGATATTACGTCATGGTTTCCCCTTGCAAATGGTGCAGGAAGAGGACCTGACAAGGACAGCTGTTTAGTTGTTCGGATGGTACGAAAAACCGAGATATCCCTTGGCAGTTGGAATTCGATGTAGCGCCACTATCCGGGCAAAATTTCCTTCATAGCACACTGTTTGGCATATCTGGCGCAGAACAGAAGGACGTTAAACCCCAATTCATTTCATTTATTCAGCCAAATTTTGGCTCTTAGCCAATAAAAAGACTGCATTCTTAAAAATATCTTAATTTATGTTTTCTTGAATGAGATGTCCTAAGCCCTGCAATTAGTTTAAACTTAGTTTAAGGCATGTATGTTTAACCGACGATTTTTTTTTTTTTAGGGTAGTGCATCTGGAGAAGAATATTCCCACACGTATGACAACCTGGAAGCCAGACCAGATAAACTAACAATGGATCTACCTCCACCACCTCAATCATTATTATTTCCATCTCAATCAGCTGGTCTACCAGAGGAGTTGACCAATATATTAAATAACTTCAGTAAAAATCCTCCCACTGGTAATAATGTACCCAATGATATGATGCACAACGTACAGAATATGTTGGCTGTTATTATGGTAAGAAGAAATCATTTTTAGATTAAAACAAGTTTTGTTTTTAGTAGATAACTTCTACTACATTCTTTTGCGTGTAGAAAGTAGGATTTCACTGTTTTGTTTATTGTCTTTGGTGGCTAGAATGGAAAAAATAGGATAATGGTCATTTTACTATTAATAGTAATTATCAGATATGAAAATATTTATTTTGAGTTTTTCTTTGTTTTTTTTTACAGCAAGCTAGTCAAGATGGTAACCAGAATGAGATGATAGATAAATTACGAATGGCACTCGAACCATTTCGTCATCAACTACCAGAATTATTCCAGATGCAACCTAACTTTGGTATGGGAGGACCACCGCCACCAAATATGATGGGACCAAGGGGTCCACCAGGTTTATTAGGAGCTGCCCCACCTGGATTTGCACCATTAGGAGGACCACGCCCACCAAGATTTATGGGAGGACCCCCAGGTAATTTGGTTACTGTCTATACAAACATCTAAATTTTCTGTGAACAGCGTTTACCCTAGAAATTATTTTAATTTTTCTTATCCATTGTTTCCCAAAATATTTGTTAATAAAGTTGTTAACGGTAAAAGGCATTGAAAGGTGATTTGAAGAATGAATCAACAGCAATTCACATAATATTATTTTATGTCTTTTTAAATGAGTTTTGAAATTATTTTCTAGGGCCAGGAGTAATGATGGGACCAGGAGGTCCGCCTAGAGGACCAGGTCCGGTTGATGAATGGGGTGAAAATATGATGGGTGGACCAATGGGACCACGTGGTCCAATACGGCATGGATTCCCTCGACCTCGAGGTGGTAACATGAATCGTGGAGGACCGAGAGGTGGACGAGGAATAGGAGGAAATCGTGGTGGTGGTGGACGAGGTGGAGGTAACTGGGATCGTGGAGATAGAAACGGAGATAATGGTGGAGGTCGAGATCATGGTGATCGAGATAATCGGGGTGGTGATCGCGGACGTGGCGGTCGAGGTGATAGAGACAGAGCTAAAAGAACTGGTAAGTTAAAAGTTGAACTCCAAACATTTTTTTCAGAATTTCAGATTTTGTGGATCAGTATTATATTTTGTTTCAAATCTTGTCCCTTCTAGCTGGGGGAGGGGGCAATTGATGCAGAGAAGTAGAACCCCACTGCATTCTATTGCATACCAACTTTCCCATACCTTTGTGGAAATACAATTTCAGTGGTTGCTACTAGAAAATATGAATCAAATCGAGAAATGTATTTTAAAAATGTGTTTATCTCTTCTTTCAGTTTGTCGTCATTTTGTATCAGGAGGTGGCTGTAAATATGGAGACACTTGTAGCTTTTTACATCCAGGTGTTAATGGACCACCATAGTTTATATATTATAATTATGGATGTAAGAGACTACTAGAGAAAGGAAGCAGTGCAATTGAATGTGAAAGTAGTAGGGGAAAAAATTGGACATTGTCTATTTTCAATGAGTCAATTTCACAACATTTCTACTTTGTGTCCTGATGACCGAAAAATAATTGGAGAAGGAAAAGGAGGTTTATCTAGAGGATTGCATGATGTCAAGGAGACTGTTCCAAAAGAAACACCAGCAGTCTGAATCGATTCTGTGTTCTAATTTAAAAACACTTGAATAAAAATTTGATTTTATGGCTCTTGTATAAATGATGGAGAATATATTAATTTATTAAAGTGATAACTTTTCGTGATCAACAATCTTCAGGAGTTTTATAAAACCTGAAATAAAATATATATCAACAAACATGGCGGACACTAGTTAATGATTATTTGATGTGCATTAAGTTATTCTTACATTTAAAATAAATCAAAATCAACCTATACTAGTGATTGTATTCAAAGTATTATACTCCAGTGGTATGGATAAACAAATTGTTATATTTAAAATACATGGTGGTTAAACTAACTAGTATTATACTCCAAGGATGTGTATTAAATTCTTATATTTAAAATACATCATAGTGATTTTATTCAGTGCTTTATACTCCAGTGACGTGGGTTGTATATAAAATATGGCATAGTCAAACTATGTTCGTTTAACTCCATACTGGAATGGGTTAAAATCTTTAAAACTTGTGCCAGGCGTTGGAAGCAGTGAGTCAGTAGTTGGAGAAATAACAGTTCATTTAAACTATCTGGCAATCCTGGAGATAAGGATCCTGTCACAGACTTCTTCAAGTATAAATTATCACACAACTTATTTACTGGAATATGTTAAACCATGTGCCAAGCCTGGAAACAGTGAGTCTGTAGTTAGACAAATAACAGTTTATTGTGTTCAACAAAGTCATAAACAATGCTAAATTTGTATAAAATAAACCGATTATGACATGTGAGAATAAATGCTTGTTATAAATTTTATATAGTGCATAATGAAGTAATTGCATTTCATAATTTTGTGTATTGATATTTTGTGAAAATGAGAAAGAAATTTAATTTGTATAGGACTAAATTTATATTGTGTGTTCAAACAATATTTATATGAAGATAGCCTTTCTTTTAAGTTGCCTGAATGCTGTGGATGTTGCATGAAATAGTCGTACTTCGGCTTCACTGTCCTTTTCTTGTACAAGGTATTTATATGTACTGTGATATTCGCATACCAGGAATAGCGTGGAAGGAAATGGTACATTGTGTGAAGTCATATTAACAGGTCTAGTCTTTGAGAGGAGTCGAAATATGGTCTATTGAGTATTATGGTTTTCTACAAACCGTCCATATTTCGCTATTGTTTGGCTACCAAAATAACATTTGTTTACAGTTTACAGCAAATTGCCTTGTAAACAGGTAAACAATGGGAATTAGTCAAGGAAATTGAAAGTACTACAGAGTTTAAATCTTTATAGTTTCTAAATGAAGATGAATATTGTCAACAATTACAATGATAAAAAGCTGATTAATAACAATAAATTATGACTTGAATATACTCAATTAATGGGGGTGGGTACAGCCCAAAATGTGGTGATTATTATTTTGGTGCTAAGATGGTTCTGAATGGCAAGAGTCTTGGTGCAGATGTATAAATGAAAATGCTCGCACATCAATTAATGTGATAAATAAACATTCTTAAATTATTTTTGTTGAAAGAATATTTCAATTAATAATGGATGATTGAATTTGTTGATTAAATTAATTTAAATTTTGGATAGAAATTCTTTGATTGGTGCATAGCTTCATAAATTATCTGATATAGGTTTGAAGAATGACTTGTGTTTTTCATGAATTATCTGATCTAAAGCAGGACTTGTGTGTTCATTATCTGGTATATGTTTGAAGCATAACTTGTAGTTGTATGATCATGAATTACCTAGTTTCAAGCATGTTTTCTTTCATGACATATATCTGATAAATGGTTGCGGTAGTGCTCGTGTTGTCATAAGTGATGTGATTAAAACATTAAATTGTATATGGATGAAGCATAACACTTTTAATGTTTTCATGACATAATGGTAGGAGCTTATATTAACGTAGGCCCTGCTATTATAAAAAGCAATTTTCATTAAAGGGACAATAACACTCTTGCTGGCTTGACAGCTCCAGAAAAATAAAAAAAAGCCTTATTCTAAGTACTAGATGTGTTAGTGTCTTACCTGTTGTGTAAATTATCCATTAAATCCTATTTTACTTGTCCAGAGAGTTCAAAAATATTTCTAAATCCAAGTCACATTTGAAAAGCTTTACAGTCAGGCTTTTCAAATCATTTAGTTGAATTTTTCCAATTTTTTAAATGAAGTGTGTTAAGATGAAATTTGTATCATCAATTAATTAGAATATTGTAAAATAGTACAATTTGTTGACCAGAATAAAGATTGGGACATATTATTCAGTTACAACAAGAGTGGTATTGAGCCTTTAAAGGGAGATAATCCTGTTGAATATTTCATGACATGGTAGGAGTTAATGATTCAAGATAGTGCATGTATTGATGATATTGTTATAACACGGAGATAATTTTATTGAATATTTATGCGTGACTCTATGCTAAATCTGATCATTGATAATACATGTATGTTGTTTATGCAAATTATAGGTGTATATATGTAAAGATAATTGTAATATATTTGTAAATATATTAGATAAAGTATAATAATAAAACTCTATTGTGATAGAGATCTAATGAAGTTTATATATTATAGAATATGATTTGTTATGGCCTCATTCATGTAAATTCATTATCATTCATTGTTTTTCTACATCACTCATTAAAAATGTTTTGATACAAAAGTTAAAAAAAAATAGTTTTGTTTTGTTGCATCGAGGATAGTCATGATTGTCACGTCTTCTCCCAGCTACTACAGTTGATGGAACAAGAGAGAGAAATGGGGTTTAATATCCACTGAACACAAACTAGGTAATTTCGGAACTAACAATGTTATTTCAATAATTTCCTTTTGCTTTAGGGATTTGTAATGTTGGGAAACTGGAGGACCCAGAGAAACCCTATCAGGTTAGGCAAGCATTCCTACATACGAGTGTGGGATGGCAACCACGCCATTTGATTGAATGACAGACCTTGCTGGACCATTGGAACACTCACCCCTTTTGATGGAACCAGGCTATTATTAACATCAAAAGTTTGAATTAAATCCCACTCCAAACATTTGAATCGGAAGAAAACCATGCCATGCTGAGAGAATCTGTTTATCAGCTGTGTTTATCACATGACTTGATTGAGGGAGAATCCATTATCGGTGTATATTTGTCAACTCTTTCCATTTACCATAAATATCAAAGCCTAAGTAAATACCTGGAGTATCCCTTGCCAACTTCGTATTCGGCTGTTTAAACGCACAGTCTGCTGGGCATTTAATTCTCACAATGTTCTCATAACTGTTAGCCATTAGCTCAACACATAAGATGCACTTCATACATCACTCGACAACACCGGCTGCCTTTTAGGGATACCCTCACATGTTTGTCTTGTACGCGCCATTTATATCAATATTGCCATAATTTTATTGGAAATAACTACCTGATAAATATTTTTGTGAGAATGTATCTTTTAATTAAGGTTATTCTTAAACGAGGAGCTGGGCTGGCTCACTATCCAGGTCCTAGGTTTCGATCCTGGTATTGGCAGAGAAAGTTCCCTTTGTCAGTGGTGTAGGACTGAGGGCCTGTGTACAGGTTGGTATGCATGTAAAAGAACCATTGACAGTTGGAATTTGAAATAAGAGTAGGCCACATTGCACACTTTACAGCGTACGCCAGTCTTCATTAGCCCAGTTGGTTCAAACAGTATGAAGTTTAAAAAGAGAGAAATGGGGCTTAACGTCCACTCAACACAAATTAGGTCATTTCGGGACTAACATGTTTCAATTTTATTTCAATGATTTGCTTGTACGTAGGAATCTTGAGCAGTGGGAGGACCTGGAGAAAACCCATGCGGTTGGACAGGCAGGGGGGTGAGCGGAGCGGAGCTATGTGCAAACAGGTGCATTTGAAATATGAGCATTATATAAACCGACAATGTGTACACAGTATCATGAACGATTTCTGGTAAAAAAAAAGTGAGGATATAAGTAAACAATGTTATATTTTGGTTTAGTATTTGTTTAATACCTACATAAATAATACACATTATAAATAGAAGCAGTATATACATTAATAAGTTATATCATTCATAAAAAAACAGATGGTACATGTAGCTATTGTTTATAAACTGTAATTCAAATACTTATATATCATTCATAAAAACAGACTGGAGCTACTGTCTATAAGGTACCATCGCAATATTTAAACACTTGCATCCAAACGAATGACCTGAGTAACTGGGCGGGTGGGTTGAACGACACCTTGGAAAGAAAATGATAAATTAAATATCTCACCATTTTCTTACTGTCGACACGAATTGATTTTGTTTGGACTCAATTGTTGAAATTTTGCGACTATCCCAAAGACCAAAAGTATAAACCAACAATCAAAGTTTGTAAATCTATACTAAACAGAACTGAACCATTTATGGACTTATATTCAACTTTAAAATACTATACGCTTGATACTGATGTACCATTAAAAACTATTTCTTTCATTCACCCATTCATTCAACTTTAAAATATTGTAGTTTTGTAAGGGATTCAAAATCTCTCAACCAAAGATCAACAGCTTTAAAATCTAGTTATAAATATAATCAACTTTAAACATACATTATGCAAAGGCTAAATCTGCTGATTTCAGGTCTTTCTTTAGGATTTTAAAAATGCTATATGAACTATTAACTAGACATTTATTAGCATAAGATCATAATCAACTCCCGACGCCATCTGATGGGTACGATTTTAAACAGATTTGAATCCGATATCGAGACTTCGTTTATTATCGTAACAACGGTAACAATGACAATCAAGGCTACAGTGTTTTAGAAATTTGGTTTTCTCGGCTCAGAGTAAAGTAATTTGTCTGAAATTTTCAAATTCAGTTGTTCAACAATCTTATGTAGACTAAATTTAATAGACATGTATATGCTTATGGATGGATTCGGCACACAAGAAATGGACATTATTATTTTTATTGAATTTTTCAAGAACAAACTGAATACTGACTATACAATACCGGTAGTTAAAATATATTTACAAGTTTTAAGTCCCAATTAAAAACTCATTTATCCAAACAATCTTATGTAGACTTATCAATGGCTTTGACGCTCAAGAAATGGACATTTATTATTAAGTTGGTCATGAACAAAACTGAATACTGAATATGCACAACCAGTAGTTAAAATATATTTTACTATCACAATATCCAAATATCACACAATCAGTAATTTTTATACCACATTGTTACCATACTAATAGATACATTGTCTGTAAATACAATATAACGTACTACATAGTTAAAATATAAAATATATTTTACAATCACAAGAAGTATTAACAAACAGCAGATATCACACAATCAGCAGTTTTTATACCACATGGTTATTGTATTAATATGGGTATGGTAATACTAATACAATATATGATGGTATGGTAATACATTATACACTTGCATACTAACACAATACAATATACAATGGTATAGTAATACTAATACAATATATAAATATAATGCTGTATGGCTAAAGCTTTTATCACATGAAATATAAAATATAATAAATTAAACAATTGAAATACTGTAGTAAGATATTCAGCAGTTTAAACAATTGAAATACTGCAGTAAGATATGCAGTAAGATATACAGTAAGATATTCAGCAGTTTAAAGACGAAAACAATTTAATAAACATCCAAATCAAATAACCAGTTAATTCATGTGAACAATGTTTCAATTAAAATTTCAAAACTATGGTACTATAGGAGAGAGAGAGAGAGAGAGAGAGGTTTGATGTCTACTCCACACAAACAAGGTCATTTTCTGGACTAACATATGGTTCAATTTTATTACATTAATCTGCTTGTGCATATGGTCTTTAGCAGTGGGCAGAAACTGGAGGACCCAGAGAAAACTCATGAGGTTGGCTTTCAAGAAGGTCAAGCAACCAGATAGGTTATTTTGGATTTTTTTCCTCAATGAAGCCAAGTTTTAAAATGTTTTCTTGAATAACAAAAATTCTAAATCAAATTGGTATGACTGTGGCCTGGAGGTTGAATGGTGGAGTTATATTTCTATAACACTTGTAATACTTCAATAAATCAAACATACAAAAAAATACTGATTAAAATATCTAAATATCACAGACAATGTAATTTGTTAAAAAGAGGAATGACGTTAAAATTTTTTTCACAGTTATCAACTGATAATTTATACTCCTAATATTTCAATCCATGTTTCTCTTGAGTTTATAATTTACTTAAAATGAATTATAGGCCTACATATATCTTTACAAAAGATAAATGAAGTTCAAAATTTAGTTCACAATAGGCCTATCTTTGCAAATTTCATGATTTCCACAGCAATAAATCTTACAGATTTCTCCAATTTTCCATATACATTTATTCCCCCTAGTTCAATAAATGGACGTTTTAAACTGATTGAGTGCCATATAAATAACTTTATTCCCCATAGGCCATATGTCTATAATTTTCCGTCCGTCCATCTACTTCCGTTTTTTAGCAGACGAACGTTTCGCTTTTGAATCAGATTTTTTCTCATCTTTGACATTCGTTGAGACAGCAGGCGACGTTGCGGCCACTTTCGTATCGTTGCCAACAGTTGATGGTTGGGGAACTGGTTTATTAACAACATCATGACTATCAGTAAGTGTTGCCAGTTTACGCTCCAGAGCTCGAACTCTTTCTTGAGTTTCTGCCAGTTCGAGTTCAGCAATTGATGCTCGGTCTTCTGCATCCTGTGCCCTTTCTTCGGTGTTTCTGTGTAAGAAATGATACATGAAATGAAATGGGGTTTAACAGCCTACTTTTCTGCATCGACTGGGTTAAAGAAAGTGGTCTGGCAGGTACTAGTTGTTTGGATGGGACAAAAGAACCCTTGACAGTTGGAATTCAAAATAAAGTAGGGCATAGCGCAGTTGTCCTGGCAAAATTGTAATGCAAGAAGGGGTAATTTCACCCAGGCAGTGGCATTTCTACGTACAGTACACTACTTCTATTTCCAACTGTCAAGGGTTCTTTTATATACACATTGATATGTACACAGGTGGACCTCAGTTTTACCCACACTTTTCTTGTCGCCCATGACCACGCTTGAAAAATCATAAAGATTCGTCTCGGACCAAACCCAGGACATTTTAGATGATAGACGAGTGCCATGACAGCTTGGTTACACCCTAGATTAATTGATGTCATGTAAGACTGGGGTAAATCATGTCATGTAAGACTGGGGTAAATGATGGCCTGTAAGACTGTGGTAAATGATGTCCTGTAAGACTGGGGTAAATGATGGTCTGTAAGACTGGGGTAAATGATGGTCTGTAAGGCTGGGTAAATGCATTCTCCCATACAGAGTTGATTTAACCTTGCTGAATCAAGAGATTTAAAATTGCATGGGAAAGGGGTAAATGGTGGCCTGTAAGACTGGGGTAAAAGAAGTAATAATACGAACATGAGCTGTTTCTGTAGAGTATCAACAGCAGCCAGAGCTTCATAAGCTTTCTTTGTATCTGGTGTTTCTTTCACTTTACTTACTGGTGGTGCTGGTGGCTGCAATAAATTTAAATAGAAGGAAATCAATTTTTAAAAATAAGAAGAGAAATGGGGTTTTAACCAACCACTCAAGGTACCCAGGTTAATGAAAGGGGGATGAACCGAACAAAAACTCAAAAACAAATACCATGTACAAGTTTGGGATAAAAACCATACCACTGTGACTGAATGTCAGACCATACGAACTAAAGCACATACGCTAGACCACTCAGCAACCGTAGCCCCCAAATAGAGAGAGAGAGAAATGGGGTTTAACGTCCACTCGACACAAACTAGGTCATTTCGGGACTAACATATGGTTTAATTTTATTTACATAATTCGCTTGCGCGTAGGGGTCTTTAGCAGTGGAAGGAAACCGGAGGACCCGGAGAAAACCCACGAGGTTGGACAGGCGACCCTACTCCTTGCCATGTACAACCAGGGATTCGAAACCACGCCAGTCGACTCAATGACAGACTTTATGATACAGCGCGCGCACGCTAACCATTCAGCCTTCCAACCCCGCCCCAGCCCCCAAATAGAAAGAGAGAGAGAAATGGGATTTACCATCCACTCGACACAAACAAAGTCATTTTGGGATAAGGATATGGTTCAAATTTATTTCAATAATTCGCTTGCACATAGGGGTCTTTAACCGTGGGAGGAAGTGGAGGAGGACCTGGAGAAAACCCAGGAGGCAACACTACAAGCAGGGAATTGTAACCACACCACTCAAAGATACATTATGTAAGATTTAGATAAAGAGCTGGCCGTTCTTACTATAATAGTTCAAAAATGCAAAGAAATATATTAAAAATTTCTTTCAAATTGCTTTATTCTGAGTCAAGTTATCACTGTTTGTAGTTTTGACAAGATACAGTTGTGGCCAAAAGAATAGGACCACGCTTGAAAATGGTTGGATTTCTTACATGTAAATTCATTTGATCATATATCTGCCACCTGAAGACCGATTTTCACAAATGAGGTATCAATGGATAGGTTATGCTTAGTATGTCCATTACACATGCACATGCATGTTTGAATGATGACGTCATTATCAAGCACACATACTAGATCACTTGGCAAATCATAAATTCCAAACAGAAACAGAAGTATGTTGTAGTTGTCATTATAGTATATTGGTCCTATGAGTATTACCTTATCTAGACTGTGATGTAAACTTTCTATATGAGTATTCTCATCTGTACCAATCTTCTCTAAACTTTCTTGTCTTATCTCACTTTCCTGATTTAATACAAAATACTGGCTTCATTTAAAATGTCAAAATATAATGGGCAGGCCTGGAAATAACGGTTTTAGATGTGTTAGGCACTAATGAAATAGTACCTTACATTTTCAACTTAATGCCGGACATGTATTAATAATATTATTATCAATAAAAAAGACAAATCAGTGCCGGACAAAATGACAGACACTAGAGGTTTTGTGCCTGAAAAAGCCTGAATCTGTGCCAGACATTGTCTGTGACAGGTGCCTTATTTCCAGGCTTGACAATGGGGTTTACTTTTCTCTTACAACCAGACTAATGAAGATGGGTATATGCTATGCTACAAGACACAAAAGTTTGCCAAAGCAGCAGCTCTACGACGATCTCTTATTTCAATTATCAGGTAATTTTGAACGTGCAGTCAATGGTGTCGACTCGACACAAACTAGGTCATTTCGGGACTAACATATGGTTTAATTTTATTTACATAATTCGCTTGCGCGTAGGCGTCTTTTGCAGTGGGAGGAAACCGGAGGACCCGGAGAAAACCCACGAGGTTGGACAGGCGACCCTACTCCTTGCCACATACAACCAGGGATTCGAAACCACACCAGTCGACTCAATGACAGACTTTATGATACAGCGCGCGCACGCTAACCATTCAGCCATCCAACCCCCCAAATCCCAAAGAACTTTCATGTTCGAACATCGTGATCGAAACTACTCACTGAGTCACCAACAACATATGGTGGGTATATGTAGTGCTGGTTATTGCCACTGCAGTCTCGATACGATACGTATGGTGATTCAGGTGCTACGATACAATTCATATCACGATTTATAACAAAAGTCAATATTTACCAAGAAAACAACAGGATGGCGATATAAAACGCTTTATATCACGATATTGATGTGGATCACAATAAGGACCAAAACAATTTTAGAGTGTTTGTGTACCTATGGATAATATGTGATGTGGATAATTAAGAATGACAGGTTACTTACTAAAGCGACAAGAAAACATGAAAAAGAATAGAGAGAGAAATGGGGTTTAACGTCCATATGGTTTAACATATGGTTCAATTGTATTTCCATAATTCGCTTGCGCGTAGGGGTCTTTAGTAGTGGGAGGAAACCGGAGGACCCGGAGAAAACCCACAAGGTTGGACAGGCGACCCTACTCCTTGTCACGTACAACCGGGGAATCGAAACCCCACCAGTTGACTCAATGACAGACTTTATGATAAAGCATGCATGTGCTAATCATTCAGCCATTCACCCTCTTGAAAAAGAATAGAGAAAAATCGATTCAGCGTCTCGCGATTCAATACGTGAATACTAAGAACATCAATCTCGATACATCGATTCAACAGTATATCGTGCCAGCGTTAGGGACACAAATCTGGTTCCTAGGGTAAGTTGAACCAGACCAATGGGAAGATAGCCGGTCAGAAAACATGAGTAAAACAGAGTTATGGCCCAGTAACCATGGATTCAGGTTGTCTAAAGAAACGATTGAGAGATGAAAAGGGGGTTTAACAACAAATTGGACACAAACTAGGTCATTTCGGGACTAACATATATGGTTCAATTCTATTTCAATAATTCGCTTGCGGGTAGGGGTCTTTAGCAGTTGCAGGATACCTGTGGACCCGGAGAAGTACCACAAGGCTGAATAGGCAACTCTACAAGCGGGGAATCAAATCCATGCCGTTTGACTGGCCATAAGACCACATTAAACTATTCGGCCACGCACCCCTATAATTTTTAGCTTAAAATATAATCTTACGGTTAGATGTGCGATTTCACTTCTATCTTTATGTTTACTTGTCTTTTCTTCATCTGACTGGTTATTCTGGACTACAGCTTCTATAGGTTGTGTTTGTTCAACCAGACCCTCAGATGTATCTTGTTGAGATGTCTGTTTAGTTGGTGATATATCTAAATTCTTATTCAAAACAATCTCTTCCTAATTTTAGACAAGAATTCAAATTTTAATTTAAATAACAACTTGAGAAACAAGCTATTTAAAAGCCTTGACTCATCATTTATTTGATTACAGGAATGAATACAGACAACAGTTCATTCTAAAACATGTGCTGATACATGACCACACCCATTTGACAAAGATCATACAAAAGATATCAGTAATGTGAACACAAATTCCAGGCCATATAAAAAGATATTTCAGCTTCTCAGATAAGAAAGCCCATTTTTTTTTTTACATAATATAGTTTACATATGAATGAGAATTCAGCTGTGGAAAATTATTTTAAGACGTACCACAGTAATTTTGCGTTTTCAGACTACTAAAAAATTAGAAGGAACATGGATTACAATTTTATTAGGAAAACTCTACTGTACTACCTTTTGTTCTTGTTCATCCAGTTTGTCTTGCTGTTGGTTGTCTTGTTCATCCAGTTTTTCTTTATCAGAATAAATTGTATTATCACTGTAACCACTTTGTGGCTTTTTCCGCTTTTCTTTTGATTTAGCCGGAAATAATTCATGTATTGGTTCCTCCATCAACTGACTGGTTAATATCTGAGCTGTATGAATCCAGCTATCACATTCCGCCTGTTAAATAATAATATAGGATTAACATCAGGTATCAACTATCACATTCTGCCTGTTAAATATAATATATCATTAATATACAGGTATCAAATATCACAGTCTGTTAAATACCAGGTATTAACTATCACATTCTACCTGTTAAATACCAGGTATTAACTATACCATTCTACCTGTTAAATATAATATATGATTTATGCCAGGTATAAACTATCACATTTAGTCTATTAAATATAATATATAATTATGAAATGAAATGGGGTTTAACATCCTATTGTTCTGCTAATGAAGACGGGCATATGCCATACAGTGTGCTATGAGGGAAATTATGCCCAGGCAGCAACACTATGGCCTACTTTTATATCAAATTCCAACTGCCGAGGGATCTTTTACGTGCATGCCAATGAAGACGGGTATACACCATGCAGTGTGCTACGAGGGAGATTTTGCCCGGGTAGTGGCGCTATGGCCTATTCTTATATCGAATTCCAACTGTCAAGGGTTCTTTTACGTGCATGCAATGTGTACACAGGACCTCGGCTTTCGTACCATCCAAACGACTAGACAGCTGTCCTTGTCAGGCCCTCCATCTTACACCAATGACAAAGGGGAACCACGCCAGAAACCGAGAGCTAACCTGGGACCTACAGGCTAACGAGAGAGAGAGAAATGATACAGCATGTGCATGCTAACCATTCGGTCATCCAACCCTCCTCCAGACTAACGAGCTGACATCCTTCTCACCGAGCCACTGCGGCTCCCATGTCGTGTCTAAACTAAAATTCAAATTATAAAGAAAATACTACCGGTATGTGTAAGTGTTAATAACATAAAATCAGACTATAGCAGGTACAAAGTTGGCTGATTATCTCCCATTAGTGTAGCAGGGGAGACAACTGGTACAGGATCGTCTTAAAGTAGATTAATATTTTCAACTAGACCAAGAATAAACTATTTTCTGAAAAGATTTGTCAAAGTAAGTTTTTACAAAACTGTTATATAAGATCATAGGATGAAAGATATTTACTCTTAATCTGTGTAAGTCTCGGAGTTCGTTATCAGCATTATCTTCCTTTAAATCTTGTCTCTTCTGTGTATTATCAATTACAATACCATCACAACAACTATAATATACATAATATCAATTACAATACCATCAGAACTATAAATATATATAACAACAATTACAATACCATCAAAACAATACATATATATTCTGTTTATCTCATATTGGCTAGATATTTTCTTCAAACAATATGATAATTTATAGGTTGTGACAATTTTAAAAAAAAGTTTTGAAGTGTTTTTACACAAAAACTATACATTTAACTATTTTTATTTTGTTTTATGGTTTAATTCTTTAAAATTCCAAATTTATAACATGTAATTGAATTGTAATTATAGCATGTAATTTAACTGTATGTATAGCATGTAATTTAAATTTAGCCATAATTATAGCATGTAATTTAGTCGTATTTATAGCATGTAATTTAATTGTATGTATAGCCTGTAATGTAACTGATATAGCATGTAATTTAACTGTAATTATAGCATGTAATTTAACTGCATTTATAGCATGTAAACCAACTGAGAGTTTCTCCAGCCAGCCAATTTCACAACTAGTCTTCACAGCCAGTCAATTTCACTGCCAGAAGTCTTCTCCAAATAACAGAAAGCAACAAAAACATTAAAGAATAACAATAAAATAATTTGAAATTAAACAGAAAGAGAACAGAACTTTATATAAATATGGAACACTAACAAGTACGATAAGGACCAGGAGTCACCATCTTGGAATTGAGACATTTGTCAATCCATGCACAATTGTCTAAGGCACAAGTTTCATATCAATCGAATTAGCCAAAACTTAGACTTTTTTCTACGACAATGCGCCCCCCCCCCACAAAAAGAAGAACAAGAAGATAAGTAGTGCTTGGATCCAAAAAGTAGATTAATTTAAAGGAGAACAGAAATTGAACAGAAGAAGAAAAGAAAGATAAAAGATCATAGAAAAAATATATTGTGGTGCTCAGACAAGCCTTAAGAAAAAACTGATGTATCTAATCATGTTGTATATTAGAATGTATGATTATCTAGTATCATTTATGAGAGGGAGAGAGAGAGAGAGAGAGAGAGAGAGAGAGAAATGGGGTTTAATGTCCATTCAACACAAATTAGGCCATATCGGGACTAACACATGGTTCAATTTTATTTCAGTTGGTGCAAACAGTAGGAAGTTTAAAAAGAGAGAGAAAGAGAGAAACACAGTGTAATGTCCACTCGACACGAATTAGGTCGCGTATGGGTCTTTAGCAGTAGGAATAAACCGGAGGTCCCGGAGAAAACCCACGAGGTTGGACAGGCGACCCTACTCCTTGTCACGTACAACCAGGGATTTGATACACTTTATAGAGATACTTCCTGTAACTTGGGTAAAAGATTTACTGCGGCAATTGATGTGAATGTTTTTATTTCTTTTTTTAAAAAATAAAAACGGGTCAAGCAGCCCCTTTTAAGTGACACAGGATTATCTGAGAATCAGTATATTGTTTTTATATGACCATAATATGAATTGTTTGGTTTTGATTAACTCACAAAGCTAGTTTTATAGAAAGAGATGAAATAGTGACAGCTAAAGGTTTTTTCTCTAAATTACAGAATGAATTGGTGTTGACAAAAACAACTTGCTCTTCTGCTTCTAAAAATCTCCTGTAGAGGTCAAGAGTTAAAAGGTTAAGGATCTCCTGTAGAGGTCAAGAGTTAAAGGTTAAAAATCTCCTGTAAAAGTCAAGAGTTAAAGGTTAAAAATCTCCAGTAAAGGTCAAGAGTTATAGTTTAAAGGTTATTAAAGTGCGATCACACCATGAATTTACAGGGGTGTGTTCAGAAATTTGAGCAGGAGGGGGTCCGGGGGTGAAGACAACGTCAAGTTTGGCATACGGTCTGGAGGATTAACCAAGAGTTTGATCAAGTCAGAAGCTCTGAGACAATATTTTAAGAACCATATAGATCTTTGACTCAGACAGTTTTGGTCGGTTCTGGGAGCATCAGTTTCGAGATACAAAACTCAATGTAAAAAAACATTATTTTTGAAGAGATAAAGAGAGCAGAAAATGAGCTACAAATCTTAATGTTTCAGGGTACTGGGTGTAGTCAATATTTATATGTACCAGGTTCTAAAGGGTTAAGCTAAAGACATTTAATCTAGTATAGAGGGTTAAATTGTAAACGTTGAAGACTTTGATTAGCAACAAGGAAATGTAATTTACATTTAGGTTAAAGATGGGTTCCCAGAAAAGTATTTATTGGGTGGTTATTTCAAATAAAATTATGGTAATTTTGGTATATATGGAAAGTAAAGATATCCAATCTTACTTGAAAAATACTGGATTCCCCAAAAAACACTCATGGAGCGTATACAGGACAAAAACGTAAGGGTTCCCCTAATCAACAGCCCGACGATTAGGAATTTCTGCATGCGTGATGTCAAAGGTCACACGCGAACATTGAGCGCTTTATGTACAAGTTGATAAACTTTATGAAGAGTTAGACGTACAACACTTTCTGAGATAAAAATGACAAAAAAAGACGCGGTTAGTGGATAATTCGAGAATTTAATTAGGATTCGATATTTGTAATAAATAGTAAGCGATTAAAGACAACATCGTCTTATGTATGCAATGAATTCTCCTCTGACTTCCAAGAGAGTGTTAAGTCACGTGACGTAAACATGACCTGGTTTGATCGAATTTTTATAGCAGGACATTCCTTCGCAATTCCGTTTGAGAAGGATTTGAAGCAAAGTTATGACAAATTAATTAGTTTGAATATGTCCATATATACCATTAAATCACCCAGTTTGTACGCGGGAACCCATCTTTAAAAGAGCATGATTTACAATGTTAATAAAGATGCATTATGTAAGAGTTAAATCTGCATATTTCAGGTCTTTAGTTTGGCTTCAAATGTTATATACATTATTAATTGACATGTATTCACAACAAGGTCAAAATCAACTCTCTAGATTATCGGATGGCTCTAATTTTAAGTAAATTAGAATGCTTCGGCCACTTAATGATATAACTGCAAAATGGAGAAGCGAGACAAAGTCTTGAATAACAAGTACTATAGTTATGACAATAAACAATCAATGCACACGTCTTGTCAAAACTACAAACTGTGATAACCTCGGTCAGAATAAATTGAATGATATTATCAATATATTCATTTGTTATTATCTAGGTAGTTTTGAACTACTATAGCAAGAATAGCCAGCTCTGTATCTAAATCTTACATAATGCATCTTTAAAAAGTAGTGTGAGAAAAATTCAAATGAAAGCTCAGGTTTATTTTTACACAAGCGTTTCGTGTTTAACTTACAGTGTGACGTAATTTGAGAAGAGTTCCAATTTGTCAAATAATTGTTTGACTTGTTGGTGAAGTTGAGGTATAGATGACGTGCCGATTAGCGCCAACTGTCGTGCTTCCTCTGAATGATCTTCCCGATCGGGAGCCAATCGTAACAATAGTTGAACCATCCATTGTACCATCTCAGAATGAAGAGTCGAAACCTACCACAGACAGAATACAAAACATTATAATTATATTAACATGTTGTGTTTTTTTTGTTTTTAAATAGAGAGGGAGAGAAATAGGGTTGCATGTCAACACAAACTAGGTCATTTTAGCAGTGGGAGCCAACTGGAGGACCCAGAAAGAAAAACACCAGATTGGGAAAGTAATCATACTCTATCACGCACGTACAAGCGGGGAATCGAAACCACGCCACTAGACTCAATGATAGACCTCATCATCTAAAGCGTTTGCGTTAAATCATTTGGCCACCCAACCCCCGTCGGTCATTTTGGGACTAACATATGACTATTTTTTTTCTACGGTGACATGTGTAATACTCTAGATTATAATTTTGCTCAGACAGCAGCTTTTATGACTACTAATCATCAAACTCCAGCTGTCAAAGTGTCTTTCATGTGCACGCTAACATCTAGACTCCTGGGGATTGGATGGCCGTGTGGTTAGGGCGTGCATGCTGCATCATAAGATCTTTCATTGAGTCAACTGCTGTGGTTTCGATTCCCCGGTTGTGCGTGACAAGGAGTAGGGTCGTCTGTCCAACCACGTGGGTTTTCTCCGGGTCCTCAGGTTTCCTCCCACTGCTAAAGACCCCTACGCGCAAGTGAATAATTGAAATAAAAATTGAACCATATGTTAGTCCTGAAATCACCTAGTTTGCATCAAGTTGATATAAAACCTCATTTCTCTCTCTATATATTATATGATGAAAAGCCAGCTATCATTATTTATATTTGTATCTCTATGTTTTCTTCTTTGGGCGACATTTAGCAATTGTCACACATAATATACACAAAAACATAATATGGAACACAATTACTATTTTCAATAAAGTATGGTGGCTGAAAGCGTCCATTTAGATCGACGGGTTTCTAGATACAACACGAGAGTCGCCGTACTATCTTAACGGCGACCCGCGACTTTCACAACACGAGAGTCACCGTTAAGCGTAGAAATATTTGGTGATCTGTGTGCGTAAAATGTAGCCATTGCGCATGTAACTAACTATAAACTTCCGAGACGAGAGTCGCCGTTAAGCCAGAGCGACGAAAAAGTTGCCGATTTTTTCGGTGACTTTTTCGTCGCGTGGCTTAAGGGGACTCTCGTGTTGTGAAAGTCGCCGTTAAGCTAGTACGACGAAAAAGCCGCCGATCGGCGCCTTTTTCGTCGTGCTGGCTTAACGGCGACTCTCGTGTTATATCTAGAAACCCGCCGATCTAAATGGACGCTTTCAGCCACCATAATAAAGTGACCCTCAACAAAATGTCTCCATGGTTACCTGATCTACAAGTTTAGCATCTTCACTATCTATGGCACTGGAAGCAGTCGTCATCCATTTCTGGGTTTTACGTACAGTGTCATGGATATCAATACTGCAAAGACGAAAAAAATAAAACATAGAATAATAAACAACAAACCGTGTCAACCTTTTGCACTAAGTTATGCTTATATATAACTGACTGGAGTAACAAGCGATAACAGATGCAGTCAAGTTCAGCTCACTGGGTGGTTTGAGGTGGTCTGGGAAGCAGTAGTTTCAAGCTACAAAACTCAATGTAAAAAAAATGTGAATATTTACGTGTATCAAGAGCTTAAATGGTTCAGAGGTAAAAATGGGGAGTGTAAAAGAATGAAAGTTATATACCTTGTATGGGGTCGGTTTTCACTTCGATCACCTTCACATTGTGTTGTACCAACCAATTCTATCGACTGATTTAACGAGATTATCCAGTCTTCTAAAGTTAAAAAGAATACTCCCCATTCGGAGTCGAGAATGCCCAGGCTACCGTTCAAAGCTGTAGTAATCCGACTCTCCCATCCACTGATAGCATTCATTAGATGGATTACTCCTGTAGCAACACCTTTAACACAAAATAAATTCTCTTCCACATTAATTCCTTGAATCATTGATATCATTGATATCATTGAGAGAGAGAGAGAGAGATGAGTTTAACTAACATATGGTTTAATTTTATTTCAATAATTCGCTTGCGCGTACGGCGTACGGGTCTTTAGCAGTGGGAGGAAACCAGAAGACCCCGAGAAAACCCACAAGGTTGGATAGGCGACTCTACCCCTTGTCACGTACATCCAGGGTATCGAAACCATGCCAGTTGACTCAATGACAGACCTTATGATACAGCGAGCACATGTTAACCATTCGGTCATCCAACCCCACATTTTTACATGAACGGAATTTCACAAAAGTGCAGTTTGCAGAAATTTTACAAAAGCGTAAACATTAAATTGAATCAGAAGCAGTTTTTCGACTTAAACAGTAAATTGAATCCGAATGGAGTTTTTAATGAGATAAAGAAATCTTACCATTTTCTCCTGTTACGCGATTATTAAACTGTTTTAATAATTCATCAACTTCCTAAAACAATAATCAACAAAAATAACATTTAATTTATATTCTCTATAATGGCTTCATACTTAGATTAAAATTACACAATCAGTTTTATCACAATAAATCATAATTTGTTGTTGGTTATTACAAATTTAACGTCCAATACATTATACAATGGACAGGTTGATTTAATTACGATTATTTACATAAGAGTAATTAGAAAAAGAATAAAAACATAAAAAAAGTTCTTATATATAAAAAGTCACTTTAAAAAAAAACCACAGTGTTAAAATTCATCTTCTCCCTTCGTCATAATAAAATCAAGTTAAAAGAGGAGATTCCAGCTGATTGCATCCTCATCATCCCCAGTGGTCTTATTCCGTTCCACTCCACTAACCCCTGTGTTCATCTATGAGGGAGACACATATTCAAATTATCTGCCCTTAGTGAGAATTAGTCAGAGAGAGAGAGACAGAGAGCGGCAGATAGAGAAATGGGGTTTAACCTCCACTCGACACAAACTAGGTCATTTCGGGACTAAAATATGGTTAAATTTAACTTCAATAATTTGCTTGTGTGTAGGGATCTTTAGCTAAGAGAGGAAACCGGAAGACACAGAGAAAACCCACGAGGTTGGAAAGGCAACACTCATCCTTGTCACATACTAGCGGGGAATCAAAATCACGCCACTTGACCTAATGATGGCCTTGTTAAACAATTCGTTCACCCAAGCCCCCGAGAATTGGTATAATTTCCAACATACCTCGTTTAAATTCATCATGTTAGTTTGTTCATGATGTGTTTTACCATCCAGTCCTCGATGTCGACCAAACACACGTAAAGACGCATCCGTCCAGCCTTCCATTTCTTTACGAATGTTCATTAAGGCATCCAGGTTGGCTAAAAACAGATCACCACCAAATGTTTCAGACTCTTTTCCTAAAATCTGAAAACAATAGAGTTATAAACAATTGTGTTTTAAAACATCGCATTTTTCAGATAACATCTGAAATATACCCATATCGATTATTTAACATTTTATTAGGAAAATCAAATATCATTGGGGTGCGGGTCACTGCGGGTGGGGGAGAGAGAGAGAGAGAGTTTAAGGTTCAGTCGACACAAACTAGGTCATTTCGGGACTAACATTGTTCAATTTTATTTCAATAATTTGCATGCTTGTAGGGAACTTTAGCAGTGGGAGGAAACCAGAGAACCCGGAGAAAACCCACGAGGTTGGACAGCCGACCCTACTCCTTGTCACATACAACCGGGGAATAGAAACCACACCAGTTGACTCAATGACCAACTTTATGATACAACGTGCACATGCTAACCATTCGGCCATCCAACCCCCAACTGGTAGATAATCTCCTGGCTTGTAACCAAACAGATTAAAAAGAGGTGGATCAAGAGATTTTACCCAATACAATGACGAATTTGGACTGATAATCCTTTTATTACAGATTCCTTTTTAAAGATGCATTATGTAAGATTTAGACAAAGAGCTAGCCGTTCATGCCATAATAGTTCAAAATAGATAATGCAATTATTTTCCAGAATTTAAATAAAATAATTTTGTTTTTCTCACCTCTTCCCACGCTCTGATATCAGATTGTAATATTTTCATCTTGGGTTCATCTGGAGGTCGAACCAGCATTCCTTCTTTATTACTGAAATATATGAAATGAAATGAAATGAAATGAAATGGGGTTTAACGTCCTACTGTTCTGCTCCAAACTGGGCTAATGAAGACGGGCATACAGTGTGCTATGAGAGAAATTTTTCCCGGACAGTGGCACTACGGCCTACTCTTATATCAAATTCCAACTATCAAGGGATCTTTTACATGCACGCCAATGTGTACACAGGACCTCGGTTTTTCGTACCATCAGAACAACTAGACAGCTGCCCTTGTCAGGCCCTCTGTCCTGCATCGCTGACAAGGGGGAACCACGTTGGAAAATCTGGATGCACTTTCTCGGCCAATGCAGGGATCAAACACCCGACTTCCAGGCTAGCAAGCCAGTTTCTTACCCATTTAGCTACCGTGATCCCCCAGAAATTAAGAAAATTCTTGGATTCCAAAATGAAATGTAGTTTAGCATCCTACTTTTTTTCTACCGACTAAACTAATGAAGAACGGTGTAATGCCAAACAGTGTGCTATGATGAAAATTTTACATATCATATCCAAAATTTAAATAATTTCATTAAACAATTGAAAAATTGATGGATATTTGATATTTTAACAAGGCCACGCCGTACCAACAATAAGGTACTATAGATAACTTAGACAGGTTCTTGTCAGTGATTAGTTACACCCAATTGGGCCAATCTGACGACAAAACTTGTAAACACAGAGAGATAGAGAGAGAAAAATGGGGTTTAGCGTCCACTTGACACAAACTAGGTCATTTTGGAACTAACATATGGTTCACTTCTATTTCAATAATTCGTTTGGGCATAAGGGTCTTTAGCAGTGGGAGAAAATAGGAGGACCCAGAGAAAACCCAGGAGCTAGGAGAGGCGACCCTATTCCTTGTCAAGTACAACCTGGGAATCGAAACCATGCCAGTTAACTCAATGACAGACCTTATGATACAGCACGCACAGGCTAACTATTTGTCCACCCAACCTCCCAACTTGCAAACAAGTTGGAAATGAAACAGGTTCTAATGAAGACAGAAATATGTCATTCAGTGTGGGATAAGGTAAATCTCTTCCGTTTTTCGTCTCGTCTGAACGACTAGACACTGTTTCCCTCAGAGTGGTCCCCCGTCACACATAGGTTATTATACACTGATAACAAAAGAAAAGTAGAAAACTTACAAACATGATCTTTGAAAATCTTGGCTCCATCTTTCAATACCACTTTTTAACGAACATAAATTATCTTTCATATCTTCCTCTCGTTGTTTTAACGATAAATTGAAATCTTCGATCAGATCCCGCCATTGTTCTACATGGGTCTGGATAACAGTGAGTAGTTCTGTGTCTTTATCACTAAGTAATATAGTGAAATGATGAGCAAGTTTCGCCCACGATTTCTCACTGACGTGTAGACGCTTGGCTGTGGTTAGTTGACATTCCTCTGTCACCTAATTTCAGTTTAAAAAACGTTTCATTTACCAAAATTTCTTAAAAATCAAAGCTTTCGTTACTCAAAAAATATTCTTAATTACAACACCCACAATTGCACTATAAACCATGAATCAGCCATCTTGGATCTGTGATGTTATATCAAAATTCAATATGATTAAAAGACAGATCCTATTTTGTTTCGTTTTTATAGTTCAAAATTTCGTTTTACTTCTCTTTATTACACTAGGATCTGGAAGAGTTGTTATCATTGACATGTTTTGGATGGTCTGTTATGGCGAGTTCTTGGCCTTTTGATGCACGGAACTGTGGGTAAACCACTAGAAACGTCAATGTTGATTGATTAAGCAATGTCTAACGTCATAGGGTCAAAAGCGCTCGTATGTTCCCTGACGCGAACTCCCACTATAGCTTGTCAGATCTTCATGTAGTGTAGCCCATTGAAAGTATAAAAAAACAAAATGAAATATAGATCTGTATTTTAATCAGATTGATCAAAAATCAAAGTCTGTCAATTGATGTGTAATTGATGTGTAATTGATGTGTAATTGTCCAAAGAACAAGCATTCTTAGTATCTTGTCAATCTTACTTGAATGACAGTCTCTGACTCTTTTTTAAGCGCATCACCCTCAAGAACCAGAAGATTACCATGTATATAGAACAACTTCCTGGTTTAAAAATGCACAAAAATTGAAAGATCTCTTCAGCACTGGGTTCATTCCAACCATTGAAGAAAAAAGCCAAGCCTTCCTGTCCTGTATCACTGACAAGCTCAAACTTTCTCCACCAACATCAAGATCGAACCTGGGACCTCGTCGTTAGTGAACCAATGCACTGAGCTGCCACATGGCTCCCTTTTCACAGAACATGCCTGGGATATAAACCACACCACCACTTGATCTAAAGCAGACATGCTAGACCACTCGCGCTAGACCACTCGGCCATCAAATCAACCCTCCCATTGAGAAACAAATACAATCTCACCTTCATGGCTAGACTATAAGCTGCTGAACTCCACAATTCACGTTCACTAGTTAACGTAACAACTTGATGTTCTAGTCTTTGTCTCTGTAATTCGTACAGATCGTGGTATTCTGATAATAAACTAGAATTCTTCTGGGCTTCAGACAGAGCAAACTTCAACTATAAAATAATCATAGTACACATAAAACATTTTAAAATATTTTCTGATTTGTAAAACATTTTGAATGTTGATTTTGATAATAAAATGGGTAGGTCACCCATTTATACAAGCCTGGACAGAAGGCACCTGTCACAGACTTTGTCAGACACAAATTTTCATATAATGTTTTTATTATAATATATACGTTGTGTCAATTGTGTGATAATTTGTACTTGACAAAGTCTTTAACAGGTGCCTTATCACCAGGCTTGCATATGTAGATATCAGTATACTGTTGTGTGAATAATCACTAAGATATAGAAATGAAGGAATCACCCTGAACTTCAGACAAACAGATTTTGATAAAGATCACCCATGTACCAGAATATCGTATGATTAAACACCTTATACCAACACAGAATCTGTCATACGAAGTTCGGCAAAATCCTTCATTTCGATGTTTTATTACTTTTCTTGATTCCCCAAGCATCTATTAACCTGGGTTAATAGAGTCAAAGCCAAATTCTTCTTGATGTATAAAAGTGTATTTTCATTATTATCAAGTAAAGTAATGATATATTATACTTACATCTTCCTGAGCTTTCTGGGCCTCTCTTGTTACCCTTTTATCGTGTTCTTTAACTTCAGTTAATTCACTAAAAATAAATAAAATACAAATAATACATAAAACATATTTTGAGACTATTATATACTGTTATTTGTTTCTATGAAAATGTATGCAATTTTGAGGAAAAAAACTAAATACTTCTTGAGAAAAGCAACCAACTACTTTTTATTTCTTAATAACAGTCTTTTCCCCCGAATCAAATCTGAGGATAAATCTTATATCAAATGGATGTAATTTAAATGGTGTCTTACCTTGAATTTTAGTAACAAAAGCCTGTGCTTGACACAATTGGAGGATCTGTCCACAGAATGGGAGGATCTGTCTACAGAATGAGAGGATCTGTTCTCACAATGAGAGGATCTGTCTAGAAAATGAGCGATCTATCCCGACTATCAAAGGGTCTGTTCACACAATGAGAGGATCTGTTCTCACAATGAGAGGATCTGTCTAGAAAATGAGCGATCTATCCCGACTATCAAAGGGTCTGTTCACACAATGAGAGGATCTGTCCAGGCAATTTGAGAAATAATAAGTCCAGGCAATTAGAGAATCTGTCAACAGAATGAGAGGATTGATCTGTCAACAGAATGAGAGGATTGATCTGTCAACAGAATGAGAGGATTGATCTGTCAACAGAATGAGAGGATTGATCTGTCCACAGAATGAGAGGATTGATCTGTCCACAGAATGATGAAAAGAAAGTTGAACTCACCTTGTTAACACACCTATAGTATTTTTAAATCTCATCAACTCCTCTGTTAATCTTCTATCTAAAGCTCTCTGGGCCATCACCTCTTCATGTAAACTAAACAAACACATAAAACAATTTGTAGAAATTTCATCAAAAATGAACGGAAATGAAATGAAATGAGGTTTAACATCCTACTTTTTTGTATTGACTACTGTATCGTGATGATTTATTACTGGGGCTTGTTATCATCATATGTTCAATTCTACAAGGTCTTTATTATAACCGGAGCCATGGTGGCTCAGTGAGTAATAATAAGTTGGCTTGCTAACCTGGAGGTCACATGTTCGATTCATGTGTTGACAGAGAAAGTTTCTGGGGATTTTCCAGCTTGGTTCCCCATTGTCAGTTGTGCAGGACAGAGGGCCTGGCAAGGAACAATGAATAGTCGTTCGGATGGGACAAGAAAAAAGGGGTCCCACGTACTCATTGGCATGCACCTAAAAGAACACTTGACAGTTGGATTTCGATGCAAGAGTAGGCCGTAGTGCCGATGTTTGGGCAAAATATCCTTCACAGCACACTGTATGCCATATGCTCATCTTCATTAGCCCAGTCGGAGCAGAACAGTAGAATATGGGAGCCATGTTGACCACAGCCATATAATGGATCACACTACAGTAAAAGGCCCTCATGTTATATTAAATATTAATATTGAAAGAAACCTTTTTATCTGTGATGGTATTCTGTTCAGTAAATCACTGTATTTCTTTCTTAATGTAGCTAATAATTCTCCTCTCTCTGAACATTCTACACTGGTCTAAAAGTATCAAAAAAACCCCAAATACATTAATTTCAAATATCCTAAACATCAATTTTAAATTACAAACACATTAATTCAAAATATCCAAAATATCAATCCAAAATATCCAAAATATCAATTCAAAATATCAAATATATTACTTAAAATATCAAATATATTAATTTCAATATCAATTGAAATATATTTATTCAAAATATACAAAGAAGCTTTGTATTTAATAAGAGAGAGAATTCTAAATATTAGTAATTTAAAAGGTATGAATTAACTATTCATTTTTAACAGAGTATATACATTTAAAGATACTGAAAAAGTAATGTCATCACGAATACCAAATCTTGCGCTTTACGTGTGATAATAAAGTTAAAAAAGTTCAAGGTTCGTTCAATGTCAAGGTTTCCGTGGAAGTCGCCATGTTTTATTTGAATGTGTTTGTTTTATGAACTCTGATTAGACAACAATATTGTTCACGTGTCTGCGGTAAAGGGAGATGACCAAACTATAAGTTCAGGAATTTCTGACTAATGTAGCAACGGCTAGATGTTGTAAAACTTGCAACCCTTTCTTCAGGAAAATGGATTATATTATTTTTATTATTGTGCGCATAGATTCTCATAAATCGCTCAAAACAAGAGAAAAATCTAATCTAAAAATAGTTAGTGACTGTACCTGACGTATAAGTTCGTGAAATATAACATTATAAATATTCTGTTCCTTTTTAATCAATTCTAACAAATTATGCATCTGAAAAGAACAAAAAGGTAAACATGATTGTAAAAATTAAATATATTAAGATACACTGTAACCAGGATATCATTTATTTAATCTTGTGTATTTAGCCCTAATTTCTTTCACATTCATTCAATATCAAATCCTTTAATTTTGATAACGAGCGTCCAATTTACAAGCGTTTAATTTCCCTATCTATCACTGATCAAAAATAAACAACCCCATTGAATATTATTGAAAAATAATTAATTGGGACGTTATTTTGAACAGTGGTCAGGAACTTAAATGCTTGTAAATGATTTGGGGTAATTTTATACGATATTTACGAATTTTCAAACAAAGATTTGATATTGAATCAATGTTAAAGAAATTAATACTAAATACACAAGATTAAATGATAGCAAGATGTCTATAAAATTTACTTTAAATATTTGAAATTATTATCTCTTTTTATTTTAACAAACCCGATGAGACGAGCACAGAGACGAGCACAGAGACGAGCCTCTTAGTTTTAACTAACTTAAAACTTAAATTGGTTGTAATGGACACACCAATACAGACAGTGCCTTACCATGACTCTTGCCATATTTGTGAAATGAAAAGCTACAGTGGACAATATATTTTAGTGAAACGTGAAATTGAAATCAGATTGAAATAGTCAATGAAATTTCAGTGAAAATCTTATGTGAACTTGCAGTGAAAATCTTATGTGTACTTGCAGTGATAATTTTGTGAATTTACAGTGAAATTTCTGAATTTCTGTGAAATTTGACAAATTAATTGTCCTCAATTGGCCTTTGGTGAAAATTATTTTCTAATAACATTATCGGTTCTTTGAATTTTCAGTGAAATGTCAGAATTGTCAGTGAAATGTCAGAGATTGTCAGTAAAATGTCAGAAATTGTCAGTGAAATGTCAATATTTTCAGCAAAATGTCAGAGATTTTCAGCAAAATGTCAGAGATTTTCAGCAAAATGTCAGAGATTTTCAGCAAAATGTCAGAAATTTTCAGCAAAATGTCAGAGATTTTCAGTAAAATGTCAGAGAATTTCAGCAAAATGTCAGAGATTTTCAGTGAATTTTTGACAAATAAGATTTTCTCAATAGCCATTTATTGAAAATTCTTTTCTAGAACCATTAGCAATTCTTTGAGTTATATATTTATACACATGCATCTAGTTCTATGCAATTAATAAAACATTAACAATTTCATTCAGATTTTAAAAGTTCTAATTCTTATTTATTGAAAACATTTTACCCTGTTTCCTGTTTGCAATACTAAATACAACAATAAAGAATATTATTGATGAATTCATTGACATATGTATGATATCTGAACATCTCTAATAGTGGTTTCCAGCAGGTTTTGTCAAGTTGCCATCACACACAAACTATCCGTAAGAACAGGAGAGAGAATGCAACAAGCAACTAGACACTGAATGGGGATAGCACCACAATGTAAACAAATATTTGCATGTATACTAAAAACATGGCCACCTGCTTCCTATGGTCATTTCTATTATAGGACATGACTCATCGATCAGGCCCTGCATAATGACAATTCGCTAATGGTCAATATGGTTAGCACCTTACTGTGCCCATCGCTATTCTAGGCTATATTAGAAAAGGGTAGGTCACTAGGTCCCACAGAACTTTTGCATAGGTTGACGAATGCTGGAAAACACGTAATTAAGTATCATTTTGTTTTGAAAAAAAAAAGAATTCAAGATAGGTTTCACCAAAAGTCAGCTGTTTTGTTATGCTAAAAAATTTATAATGATTAAATACAAAGATCAATGAATACCTGTGTAGGTCCCCTGACGTCCACATCTACATCATTAGCCCCAACTTTCTCTAGTAGATCGTCCAGTACTTTCTTCAACTGTAGAACTTCATAACGACTGGTTGGTTTCCTGGTAGTCAATAAAATAATGGATATCATAAGTATTTTTTTGAAAATATAAACATTTTCATGGCTTAAATCATGCTAAAAAGTACTTGAATTCTTGAATGGATTATCTAACATTTAATTAAGAAAACAAAATCAAAATATGAATGATAGATAATCTCTTGGCTTATATTCAGTTGGATTAAATATCATCGGTGGGGCTGGCTTGTTTGACAATGATACACACCAGGGCTTTCGTTTTCAGTCCCACTCAGTAAAAACTGGCAAATATGACTTAAATAAGAGTCTGAGTAACAGATCAATTGAATTAATAGGAAATGCAAAAAAAAAACCAAACAAATAAAGTACTGCTGTGACTAAATTCTACTTACATGGAAGGAAATACCATTAAATGTTTTTCATGATCTTCAATATGTGTACTGTATTTACTGAAATATATGAAACCATGTTATAAGCATAGATCTATTTCAATATATCTTTAGTCATATGTCTAAATGATTCAGGTACTGCACTCTTTGAAAAACAAACAGCTTGTAAGCTGTCTAGTTAGATTCTGAATATTATATTGGTAGATGATATGAACAGTTAAAGGATGATGACCGAGAAAGCTCCCCAAGAATTTTTAGCCTGTAGTGGTTTCCTCTCGTCAAAGTTGCAGAACAGAGAATTTAGTCATTTGGATGAGACGAAATATTGAGGTCTGTGTTCATGTTGGCTTGCACATAAAAGAAAACTTGACCGTTGAATTGCTAGATGGAAACGACGCAGGTGAGGTAATATTTCCCTTATAGCACACTGTGTGTCATACGTCCATCATCATAGAGAACAGTAGGACTTTAAACCCCATTCTATTTATTTTACACCAACACCAAGGTTATTGTACCTCAAGACAATCCAATATAACATGAAGGACTTAGACCACAATATATATAACAATAACTGAGTCAAGGAATTAGACCACCCAACATAACAATAACTGTGTCAACAAACTATAAGATTATATCTACTCACTCTTCATGGAACTCGATACCCATAACACCTCTATTTTTAACAATGTGATATTCATCCGGTACTAGTGTATCTGGTAACTGTAGTGGCTACAATATAACAAGTTTGTTTTTTAAATATCTAGTCTCATAGTACTATATGGACCAAGAACTGAACATCACATCATCGGCACAATCGTCTAATGCACAATTGTCTAATGCACAATTGTCTAATGGACAAGCATGACAAGTTTCATGTCAATTATACATGAATTGGTGGCACCTTGGACTCTTTTCAAAGAGTGACACCCCAAGAAGCATGGGGACAATTTCCGTGTGCAAACATTAAGTAAAATCACTTCTCCTAATACTGATAATTTTTGCTCAATGTAAAATGACCACAAAAATTTGATATCATCAACTGAGAAGTAAAATACTGTATTACATGAACATTACTATATCATATTTTACTCACATGTTTTGGTTTTTCATCAAAATCATTTCTAATAATGCTACCGTCTAATTTTTCTGGATTTTCTATGATTGGTTCTGGTAGTGGAACATCGTATAAGAATGAGATATCTCTGAAATGATTATAAAGATTATCATCAATTATATACAATTTAAAACTTCAGATCTTTATACTTCCTGTTTCTACTTTGATTTTACATGGATTCTTGTGAGAGAAAGAGCGAAATAAAGTTTAACATACACTCAACACAAACTGGGTCATTTAGGGACTAACATATTATGGTTCAATATTATTTCAATAATTTGCTTGAGCGTTGTGTCTTTAGCTGTTGGAGGACACAGGAGAACCCGGAGAAAATCCACGAGGTTGGACAGGCGACTGTGCTCCTTATCATGTACAAGCAGGGAATCGAAACCACACCACCTGACTCAACAAAAGACCTTGTGATCTTACATGACCCCTCAGAATTCTTATGCCATGTCAATATACAGCTTGGGTAATTGTTTTAAGTTTTATACTTCAAACAGATGCTGCCTCCAACGTTTCTGTGTTTACCTTTTACAACCAAGGAAATAAGGCACCTGTCACAGACAATGTCAGGCACAAATTCAAGCTTCGTCAGAGACAATCTCTCTGGTGCCAGACATTTTGTCCAGCACAAATTTTGATCAGTATTTTAATAATATTTTTAATACATATCTGGCAAAAAGTTCAAAATGTTAGGGGACAAGTTCATTAGTGCCCTAAATTTTGGCAAGTACAACTATAATCACTAATGATATTTCCAGGTATGATCCTTTACCATTTGAACCGTTCAAAACCATCCGAAGTGCTAGAATGATTTCTATGATTGTAAAGGATAATGCATATGAAAAATAGTGCCAGTTTCCTTTTACATTTAACAGGTACATAAGAATATGAAACTGAACACCAAATCTATTATATCCAGTCTTATTATTTAAAGTGGTAGAATGATTCCTATGATTGTATGATAGTGACGACCTATTAAGCAAAAGATATAGAATTAATAATGTTTTAATTATTGCTTTAAGACTTGTATTATTTACCTGCCAGCTCCACAAACACATGTTGTATTTTCTGTTAAATGTTTAAACTTTTCTCGTCTTTTATGATTCCACACATTGGCTGGAGCTGGTCGTGACTGAACCTAAAAAGATAAAAGGTCAACAAATGATAAGAAAAAAAATCCATTAGTATAATCCATGTTGGTGAGACAGTCCACAAAATAAACAAAGCCCACTAAGATCATTTGACTGTGACTGGCATAAAACTTGGAATAATTTGAGTATTGATTGACGGAATTCGATTTCTGATATGACATCACAATTCCAAGATGACATCATGAATCGGAGTCACCTGGTTCATGTTGATCTAACTCGAATTGGCTGACCCTTAGGCTAAGAGCACTGCCCAAGAATATCATCAACAAGAAGATTACCAAATGCATACATCTACCTACAAGTATTACAGTAAAAATCTTACTGATGATGTATTTAAATTTCGTAATTTAGGAGCAGGTCCGAGTTTGTCTTTAGCTGGTGGTGGCTGGGTTAAAACAAACAAAATGTCTTCTGGTAAGAAATCACTCTGTAATGATGTTGGTAACGGTTTGGTTCTATCGATCATATTGTCACTAGAACGGATCTCTGGAAGATAGGCTGAAATACAGAATTTTAAAAAAGATACTTTATTCATAAAATGTTAAAAAAACCACAACATTTAATGAACTTCATTGACATGTAATAGACAATTCTATCTGTAACACATATGGGCCATATTAAATGATGATGGGATGTCTCACCACTCGTCAGCCACATTCAGTAGAGTACATAAATAATGTCATAATTTAAAATCCCAGCTGATTAAGTGATAATGAAATTAATGAAATGAGATTTAATGTACTACCTCTCTACACAAACCCGTCTAATCAAGACAGGTATATACCATGTAGCACGTTATGAGGGAATTTACCTGGACAGCAGCTATTCTGCTGATTCTTCAACAAATTCAAACTGTCAAGAGTTCTTTTACGTGCAAGCCAACATGTACAGCACCTCAGTTTTTGTCTTATCCGAACAACTAGATGATGTTCAATGCTAGGCTTTTCTGTCTGCACCACTGACAAGTGAAAACCATGCTGAAAGCCTGGAGTTCCAACTGATTGGTGAGCCAGCACCCTACATACTGAGCCAGTGTTGCTCCCAGGAATTAGTGAAACAATCAAATACTTACGATCTCTTACAGCCACTGTTGATCTTGGTGTTCCTGACCCAGATCTTGGTTGGGGATTAGGGGTCGGCACCACTATTGTTGAATTGCCACTCATGATGATAACAAAATGTATTCCTGGTTCCTCGTAGTCTTTATATTTTGGATATCAGCCAATATATTTACATCAGTTCAGTAATCATTGCTGTTTACCCCTTTAAAAATGATCAGAATAGAATCAAAAATACTCAAATTCAAAAAGAGTAGAGAAGGAAAATGGGCTAAATGTTTTCAACAAAAGATAGTGGGAATGGGATGTAGGCTACCGTACAGGCTACAGTGCCTACAGCATTATCATTTAAAATATCTATGAATGATGTAGGTCAGAGCCCAAGACAATGAAACGAACGTTCTGTCTACTAGATGTACATGTTTTGTCACAGCGTGCATAAAGACATTGGTTTTGGACTAAGCTATGTCAATATACCCAGAATGTTTAGTAATCTTACTACAAAATGGGGATCACATGGCTAAGTGGGCAAGATGCTGGCTCGCTAGCCTGGAGGTCGGGTGTTCAATCCCTGCATTGGCCAAGAAAGTTCATCTAGATTGTCCGGCGTGGTTCCCCCTTGTCAGTGATGCAGGACAGAGGGCCTGACAGGGACAGCTGTCTAGTCGTACGGATGGGACTAAAACCGAGGTCCCGTGTATATATTGGAATGCACGTAAAAGATCCCCTGGCAGTTGTCGCTGAGTTGGAATTCGATAGCCTATAAGAGTAGGCGATAGTGCTGCTGCCAGAGCAAAATGGCCCTCATTAGCCAGTCTTCATTAGGCTAGCCAAGTATAAGAGCAGAACAGTAGGACGTTAAACCCCATTTCATTTCATTTTCATTTCTTACTACAAAAGTACCAAAATTATTGTCACAACTGAAACTGACAGACCAGAACATATCAATATTGGCAATATAACGTTTAGTTTATAAAGTATATACAATAATTTTACATCACAAACATTTGGTATTAAAAGATGATCTAAACATCATAAGAAATAATATAAATATTTAGCCTATTTATTCAAAACAAACCTAAAATTTTCGCCATTCAATATTTTAGCATCATAAGCCAGCCATTTTGGTTTACATGTTTCTAGGGGAAACGGAAGTGACTTATAATCCGGATTATCCTGGCCTATTGAAAATGTTATGAATGACAATCGAGTCTAACCGGAAGTGAAAATTGTAAACATTAAAAATGGCTTCTTCACAAGAACACGTGGAAAATCTTGATTCAGAAGTTGTCAAATTATTGAAGAAATATAAAGAACTAAAGATCGATAAAGATAGCAAAAAGGTATTTATTTCTTAAATACGTTATTGGCATGTTTTGGATTTCTAAACTACCCTTCGTGTATTATGAAAAGCATCTGAAAGTCACCATTTTCATTCAATCATTGTGTTATCAAAATTTTTATTCAGTTGTCGAGTTGATGTAACTGTAAATACTGCAACATTGGTTTCAATCGTTGTCAGTCGGCGTCAGCCGTCAATAGGGATGAACAAGTCAGTTTGAATATGTAAATATGGCTGTTTATACATAACTAATATAATGTAACACTACAAGCATTGTCTGAGCTGAGTAGAGTAAAACTGATGTTGTCAAATATAGAACCCTCATACTATATAGCCCATAAGTTCATAATTAAACTTATTTCTTTGAATTATTGAACTAAAATTGAAACATACGTTAGATCTAAAATGAACTAGTTTGTGTCGAGTTGAAGTTAAATCCAAGTTCTCTCTCCCTCACTGCCTGGCAAGAGGTAAAAATTCATCTAGTCAAAAATCGAAATGTCGGCCTACTCATTGAAATTTAAAAGAACTCTAGAATTTGATAAAGAATTGACAAAAAAGTCTCTGTCAGAGCAAAATTCTCTCATATGCCCATCTTTATTATCTTGACTGGTTGAGAAAAGTAGGACGTTAATCCCCATTTCATTTAGGTAATTCTGATCATGAGTTGAAAACAGAATCTGGAACCTAGCCGAATGATCTCATGTTATTATTTGTTTCAGATTAAAATGCAGTCTTGCCATGTTCTGCTAGCATAATGATCCCATGTTATTATTTGTTTCAGATAAAATGCAGTCTATCTGGTCATGAGATGACATGTACTCCCCTTGCTATAACTACTTACGTCAGTGGTAAAAAATTCAACAAATTACGACAGAAGAAAGAATATAATTACGATGAACATAAAACACATCTGGTACCTAGTATCAAAAAATTTCATTTGTGAGTTTTAGTATTTATTTTTATCTTTTAACTTTTTAGGATAAGGTGCGCGCAAATACTGACGACTTTAGTTCCCTGAATACTGTAGAGAAAAGTGATCTTTTTTACAATGACTTTTATTACTCATTTTCAAGAAGTATCCTGTTCAGGTGCTAAATGTGCAAGTTATTGCACAATCTGATTAAAACACAGATCATATTGCGTTTAGTTTTTTATAGTTCAAAATTTGGTTTTACTTGTCTTTACTACACTAGGATCTGGAAGAGTTGTTATATTACTAGCGTTTTGGTTGAAATGAGGGATAAGCCAATGGAACGGTCTGATAAGATGACTTCTTGGCGTGTCATGCACTGAACTGTGGGTAAACCAATAGAAACATCAACGCTGATTTATTAATCAATGTCTGACATCATAAGGTCAAAAGCCGCTCGTACGACCCCTGACACGACCTTCGTGTACAACTTGTCAATCTTCATGTAGTGTAGGCTATCGAAAGTAGAAAAAATCGAAAAGAAATATAGATCTGTATTTTAATCAGATTGGTTATTGCAAGGCTGGTGTTTCAAAATATGTTCATGTATAGCCACGGTATTTCAAATATGTAACTACTTCTGCCTTGACCTGTGTCATATTTCATAGCAGGGACCACATTTGTCGAGATTCACAAATTGCAGAATTCAAAGGCGAATTGCCAGGGCTGGTTTAAGGCAGTTTATATCAGTTCGACAGTTTTAGTCAAAATGAAAGTAATACTAATAAAAATGTTAGATTTCCACAATGGCTGCTGTCTCTGCATAAGTGAACATTTTATTGTGCCTTGGCCTTTTCCAATACGTTATACATAACATAATTACATATACTATTCAAAAAAAGTAGGGGATATTTGATTTTGGGGGCATAATACTAAAATATGCAAATGACTACGAAAAATGTCACTATAGAACCTAACAGAAGAAACATTTCCAGTTACATGTGACGCCCAAGCGCACCAATAGCTACCGCATGGAATGCAGGTGATGCTTGGGATCATCATGGGGGTCCAACCCAAGATTTGCATGACTCTGACTTTGAATGTTACAGTCATTGTGGCATTGAATTCCAGGGTGGAAACATCAGTTTAATTGTTTTAGTGACCAGAAAACAAATTTTGATATGCGTCGGCTTACCCAAAATGAAAGGTTACGTGCCCTTGGCATGCTACAGATCGGCACAACACAGGCGGTTGTGGCGCGGACGATGAATGTTTCTCAGTCTGTCATAAGCAGGCTATGGTCCAGAGCAAATCAGATCAGCGCTCGTCTTCAAACAGACACTGGTGTGAGAGTGAGTGACCAGACGATTCGGAATCGACTGCATAGGGGTCACCTTCGCGCCCGACGTCCTCGCGTGATCCCTTGTTTGAGAGATCATCACATTCAGGCAAGACGTCGTTGGTGTAGGGATCGTCAACACTGGGATAATCGACGCTGGAGCAATGTGATGTTTTCAGATGAGTCAAGGTTCACTGTTGATTTTTTGGACAGACGTAGGAGGGTGTGGCGTCGTCGAAACGAGCGCTTCCAAGACGTTAACGTCATCAGACATGATCGATTTGGGGGTGGTTCTGTTATGGTGTGGGGAGGCATCACTGTTGCTGGAAGAACGGCTTTACATGTTGTTGCAGGCCGTGTTACAGGCCAGTACTACCGGGACAACATCTTGGCAGTCCATGTTGTGCCGTTCGCACGACGTCATGGCCGCCGTTTCATCTTCCAGGATGACAACGCAAGATGTCACAGGGCCAGGATCGTTACAGGTTACCTCCAACAACAGAACATCACCACATTACCTTGGCCAGCACTGAGTCCCGACCTCTCCCCCATCGAGCATGTCTGGGACATGCTTGGACAGAGGTTACGTCAACGTCAACAACGTCCTGCCAATGTCTAAGAACTTGCTGCTGCGTTGCAACAGGAATGGGACAATCTGGACCAAAATGACCTTAGACGTCTCATTAGGAGTATGCCACGTCGGATCAATGCTTGTTTGGCAAACAGAGGAGGATTTACCCGTTACTGATTTGGTTGTGATGCTGTGGTAACTTTGCTGTTTGACCCCGGGTATCATTTTACCCTTATAATGGTCAGTCTGTGCCTTACTTAGTCTAACGATCATTTGGAATAAATCGATGAATGTGAACTTCATTTCATTTTGTCATTTGTTTCTTCGTCAGTTTCATTAGGTGACTTTAATAACACTTAAAAATCAAATATCCCCTACTTTTTTTGAATAGTATATTACAAGAATTTGACATGAATAAATTATGGAATCTTTTTTTTTTTGTATTTTTTAGGAAACATTTATATTGTCCCTTGACACAGACACATGTTAATGATACACCAGCAGATATAGAACGACATATTACCGGCAGAAAATATAAACGAGCTTTAGCAGAATGTAAGTAAACAAGCAAATGGTTTTGTTATGTTTGTTAATGAAACTTCTGAAGAGAATGGCCTGGTCTGGAGGCACACTACCATTAAACCCCACTATCTCGAGATCCACAAATGTAGTTCAATCTCTTAAACATGCATTATGCAAGAGCTAAATCTGCCTGTTGCAGGTCTTTCTTTAGGCCTGAAATGTTTTCTAAAGTATTAATTAGACATTAATTAACTGATCCAGGCCTTAATCAACTCTCGATGGGATCAGATTTCTCCGATATTAAATAGATTAGAATGGTTCAGCGATACCTTGATTTAATCAAATATGGAGGACAAAGAAATAGCTCCGATCAACCAGTGCGGTGGTTGAAGTTATTGCACAGGTCTGTCAAACCTTCAAAGGCTAATATCTTTGTTTGCAAATGAGTAATTTGAATGAAATTTTCAAATTATTCATTTTACATCATCTACTTTCGAACTATTATAGCAAGAATGGCTAAATCTTACATAGTGTATCTTTAATAATCTTTCTCTCTCCCGCCTTTTGCATGGCTGTTTTTGTTGCCATTTTGGTGTAGAATTTAAGGGGAGGGTTTGTCTTGACATTTTCTGTCAGGTTTTGGTGAATATTCATGGTTTAGAGGCAGAAGCTGTCGAGGAAATTGTTCAGCTCAATGAAAATTTTGGAAAAATTGAAGCAGGCCTACAAGACCACAATTAACATTATAGTTAATGGGGAAATTGTTCATCTCTCATGGTTATCTCCCTTTAGTCTTCAAACTTCATTTGGTCAATTCAAGTCCAGTGTTAGGCATTTTAGGCCTTAGAAAGGTGTCTAGGCAAAATTTTCGTGTGCATCTCTTCATTAGCCCAGTTGGGCAGAAAAGTAGGACGTTAAACCCCATTTCATTTTATACATATAAGGCAGGGGTCACCAAACTTTTTTCATAGTGGGCTAGATATAACTGAAAGAATGTCAAGCACGGGTCAGATAAATATCTTGTTCAATACAATACACTGAATACAGAATACATTGAATGTACACAAAACATAAGGATAGTCATTCTGTTTATTTAACAATGCATGATACACACAAAATAATAAAAATAATAAAATATTTTAATCTTACCAAAATGTCACCAAGTTAGAACATTTATAGCATAGCTCGTGACATTGCTGACTCAGTGTACGATATGCGGTTTTTTTTCCCCCATGCAACAAACTGACGTCACAGGCTGTAGTTTGGTGACCCCTGATATAACAGGCAATAATTTTATATAATATCAATTTATTTTGTATCGCTAGGGAAGAGATGTCAAGAAGCCGGTGAAAGATTTCGTCCCTTTGGTAATTTAAAGAAACAGCGACCAGATGATGATGATAACATGTCTAATTCTAGTGATTTAACTGGTGGAGGTGGGGGTATATTAGATTCAGATCATGAAACAGACAGTAAGAAAGATACAGAAGAAGATAATTTCTCAGATTTATATCCAGAAGGTAAAGAGTTATATTTTTTAGTTTATTATTTAAAGTGCAACCTGCTATAATTTACAAACAATACTCAAGTATTTGTAAATTTACACAGCAGCTAGCCTTTGAAGTTAATATCGAGAAATATCTATATTGAACTGTTATACTGTTTACCCAGAGGGTGAAGTTATAATTGTTATAACTGTTTACCCAGAATGTGAAGTTATAATTGTTATAATTGTTTACCCAGAAGGTGATGTTATGATTGTTATACTGTTTACCCAGAAGGTGAAGTTATGATTGTTATAATTGTTTACCCAGAAGGGGAAGTTATGATGACTGTTATGTGATAGTTATAGTTTATTCCGGTAGCCCAATATGGCGTGCACATAAAAGAACCCTTGACAGAATTTAAAATAAGAGTAGGTCGTAGTGCTGCTAGCCAGGCAAAATTTTTATATTAGCATACTGTATGGCATATGCCCTTCATCGTTAGCTCAGTCGGTCCAGAAAAGTAGTTTGTTAAACGGTTAAACTACATGTCATTGTATTTCTATAGGAATAGTTTTTTTTCTTATAATTCTATACCCAGAAGTTATATTGACCGTTAAACTATGATTTTGCACCAGCATACCAGGGAATATTTTAACCAGATTCGTATCTGAATTTGTGACTCATATGTTCTGAATTACAAATAAAATTCAAAATAAACCTCCTGACCTTACTAAGGTAATAATGAAAACTTACAGAGTGTGAGTGTGAATAATCATGTAGCCGAGAGTGCGAGTGAGATGGAGTTTAAAATCTACTCCAATCAAACTGGGTCAATTTGGGACTAACATGTTCTAAAGTGTGCATGTTTAACCACCGCCACTCCCACCCCCCACCAAGCTGAGGTTAAAGTTGACCAGATATATGATAGATTGCAATTCTTTCTTTTTTACAGAAAATGAAGAAGATATGAAAGATGGTTCAGGGTCTGATTATGATTTTGATGCCATGGATAATAAACCTAAACACACAATTAAACCCAAACCAATAAAACTCACTAAGTCACTTAATGTAAGTTATTGTATATTACATATTGGCATTCTGTACACAGAGAACTATCGACATTGAGAATAGACCTCTGCCCTGAATGGCCATCATATTAAAAATTAAGTATACTATTGTTTTATGCGGTTCTAATCTGTTTTATATTTTTCATAAACACAAAGACTAAATACCTGTGTTTGATTTTATTAAATGGAACGAGAACAAACACTTCTCAAATTTCGACTAAAATTGTTGATTAGTGTCGGTCAATTAGCTTTCTGTCTGTTCTCAAGCGGGGCTAATTGTAAACAGACACGTAAGGTTCAGAAAATGTTCAAACCCAATCTGATTACTGCTAAAGAGAAAAATGTAGTCTTTTATGACGGTCAAACAGAGTTAGTACCCTTTAGTCTTTGGAAGAATTTTTAGTTTCTGGTTTTTGATTAAACCACTTATATTCAATTGGAAGAACAACTTTGTTTTCTTGTTAGCTCAAATTTCGTCAATTCTATTTTCACAACATGCATGGTTATCTCCCTTTAGTCTTCAAACCACTGTTTAGGTGGATTTCATGTGGTGTGACCGCACGCCGGAAAATGCTGATGAGCTTTGTTGGCCAACGCTGGGATCGAACATGGAGCCTTTAGGTTTGCGAGCCATTGTCCTACTCACTGAACCGCAGTGGCTCCCTCCCCATGAAGAACAAATACGAATATTGAGAGCTATTAACATAACTTGGATGGTTTGAGTCAGTGTAAGTTTCTAATTTTCTCAAGCAACTGGGGACGGTCAATGTAGTCAATGTACCATGTGCTAAGATTTAATTTTTATTTACTGTTGATTTCAGGGTAATGTCGGAAAGAAAGTGTTACCACAAAGAAAAAAGAAAGTCAAAAGATTGAAGCCATCTTAGTTTATGTATATTTATTATAATAAAAAAAAATGATAAAACTGATATACAATGTATTGTTCTATTACTTGGAATGGATTAGTCACGATACGTTTTACGATTCAGTTGCTATGATACGTATCACTATTCATAACCAGGTCAATATTTACCAATAAAACAACAGGAACAATGAATAATTGATATTTTTAGTCCTGCCGATGTCAAAGAAAAAAACCGTTTCATATCGTGATATTGATGTGGATCAAAATAAGGACCAAAACCATTTAAGAGTGTTTGTTTACCTATGCATAATGTATGACATGGATAATTAAGAGTCACAGGTTACTTAACGGAGCTTCAAAAAAACATTAAAAAAAAAGAATTGCGATACATGAATTCATCATCTCGGGATTCAATACGCATATCATGAGAAGGTGAATCGTGATACATCGATTCACGTCAATCCCATCTTTATTATCCCAATTGGTGGGGAAAACTAGGATGTTAAACCCAATTTCATTTGTCTCAGTTCTTTTGAATGATGTTTATTGTCTCATTTTAAAATTTTCTATTTCTATAGTTACTGGTGTAAAATGCAGGGGAGGTTTTATGTGTCATTTTAGATTGCTCTTATTTAATTTTCAACTGTCAAGGGTGCTTCTAAATTATCAAATTCAACACCTTCCACAAATCCAAAATGCTGTCGCTAGAGTTTTAACAAGTACAAAAAAGCCAGAACACATCACCCTGATACTGAAAAATCTTCCTTGGCTCACAGTTCAACAGTGAATCAAGTTCAAAATATTACTGTGTTATATGATCCATCACCAAAATATATCCAGATCTGATCACCATCAGCGAATCTTGAAATCGCAAAAAGATCATTCTCGTTCTCTGCTCCTCTATTATGGAATTTATTGTCTTACAACATTAGAACCATTGACTCCTTAGATGCATTTAAATCTCAGCTAAAGACATTCCTGTTTACAGAAGCATTTCCATAGTTAAATAAAGAAAACTTGAAAAGGTGCAATAGAAACTTCTGTTTTAGTTATTATTGCACTATATAAATAGAGGGTTATTATTATTATTCTACCTGCAAAGTCTCATTTTTCGTCTTGTGTTCCTTTTGAACGACTTAGATGATTTTCCTTGCCAGCCTTGTGTTCATATAATTCTCCATTCGAATTAGTCTTCATTAGCCCAGTTGGCGCAGAACAGTAGGACGTTAAACCCCATTACTTTTCATTGCAAAAATGAAATGGGGTTTAACGTCCTACTCCTAAACTGGGCTAATGAAGACGGGCATACGCCATACAGTGTGTTATGAGGGAAATTTTGCCCGGGCAGCGGCACTACGGCCTACTCTTATATCGAATTCCAACTGCCAAGGGATCTTTTATGTGCACGCCAATGTGTACACGGAACCTTGGTTTTTCGTCCCATCCGAATGACTAGACAGCTGTTCTTGTCAGGCCCTCCGTCCTGCATTACTGACAAGAGGAAACCACGCTGGAAAATCTGGATGAACATTCTGGGCCAATGCAGGGATCGAACACCCGACAATCCAGGCTAGCGAGCCAGCGTCTTACCCACTTAGCCATGGGATTCCCTTGTCAGTCCTTGAGACACTGGTCTCTAGTGTAGGTCACCGAAAGTATCAAAAAAATGAAAGGAAATATAGATCTGTACTTTAATCAGATTGCATTCACATGGTCTGTCATTGAGTCAAGCGATGTGTTTTTGAATCTCCACTTGTATGTGACAAGGGTTAGGGTCGCCTGTTCAAACTCATGGTTTTTCTGCAGGTTCTCCGGTTCCCTCCCACAGCTAAAGACCCATACGCGCACATGAATTATTGAAATAAAATTGAACGATATGTTAATCCAAAATAACCTATTATATGACGATTGGATGTTGAGCTCCATTTCTTGTCTTTTTCTGTTGTGTTTCAGTCACAGAAGTTTTTAACTAGCTCCTATTAGCACCAATTATCGCCTATGTAAGATGCCTTCCCACATACAAATTGTGTGACTTGATGATATAGTTGGATTAAAAACATATTCAAACTCATTTATCTATAAAATTAACACACTTATATGGATATACTACTTCTGAATTTTATTAACATGCTACGTACCTTTCACTACACATACAGGTATCGTTATCAAGCTACTTCTGAATTTTAATAACATGCTACGTTTCAATATGCTACTTTTCAATACACATACTGGTATCGTTATCAAGCTTTCAATACACATGCAGGTATCGTTATCAAGCTTGATAACCATATCTGCATGTGTATTGAAACGTAGCATGTTAATCTATTTCCATTTATAAGGATTATTTATCTATGTTTGCTTCAAATCCATATGGAGCTTGCATTGAGTGAGCATTAAACACTCTGTCATGTACTCCCACATAGAACATCCACGGTGATGTGACGATGTTTTTTTAATTAAAACTCAGCTGTTTGACATATTTTGAAAAACAAAATTTAAACATTTTTATCTCTGTGAGAAATAGCTCAACTCATAATTTACACGTTTGACACAAAGTTCAAATATTTCACTACTTTCTCAGGTTGTGGAATTCTGACAAGTTTATTTTTATTTCTACTAATTGAACAATTTTCTGTTACCCCAATTTGACCCCCATCACAATTGGATGTAAAATTTGAGAAATGTTAAAATGCATACAGTCGTCTAGACTAGTCACGTCTGTTGATAATATTAGTCTTTGTCTTTTTTTTTTTGATCTTGTTTGGTGCAATATAGCCCGGTTGGTGCTAACATGCCATTAAGTTCCATTTCATGTGTACGTGAACTTAAATCGAAACGGAACTAAAAGGAAATGAACTATTAATAATGTATCCGTAAAGATTGTGTACGGTCGCCATGTGACAGTGCACCATGCCAATCAGGATATGAATGGGGTTTAGCGTCAACAAAATACTAAAAGGTGGATTACATCTAATTGATAAGGCCAACTTCAAGTTTGGTCAAAGGTCACGAGATGTAAACAGGGCTAGCGCTAATCCCAACCCTACTTTTGGACCTAGCCCTAACGCTTACCCTAATCCTAACCTACAATCTCGCCAACAATCACGTGTCCTAACCTTATAATTTACATCTCAGAGACCTTGACGAATATTTAGTTGGCACTACGGCCTACTCTTATATCGAATTCCAACTGTCAAGGGGTCTTTTTTACGTGCACGCCAGTGTGTACACGGGACCTCGGTTTTTTTTTGTCCCATCAGAACGACTATACGCTGTGTCTTGCCAGCCCATCCGTTCTTCACTACTCAACTTTCTCGGCCAACGCAGGGGTCGACTACGGGAACGTCTTGCTGAGCCACCGTGGCCCCGGCTAACTTACCGGAAGCTTACTGGTTCGAACTCAGTATTCTCTAAGAAAATTCCTTTGAATTTTCCAGGCTAATTTTCCCGTGTCAGTGGTGCGGGACAGAGGACGCGACAAGGAACAGTGTCTACTAATCCTTCGGACAGTAAGAAGACCCGAGTTCGTTCCCGTGAACATACTGGCGTGCAAGTAAATGAACCCTTGACAGTTGGCAAAACCGACATTTATATCACAGCACACTGAATGACAGATCTATATTTTGTTTTCGTTTTTTCATCCTTTTGATAGACTCCATTAACCCTAACCCTTGTAAGAGTGGTAAAAGGTAAATTGGATCCAAGTTCAGTCTTCTAAAAAGGGTTAGAGTTAATATTCACCAAAATACTCATTTATATAAGGCGGCCATTTTGGACTCCGGAAATTCTCGACCCTCCCGAACCGGCCCACAGTTAGCATCTCCCCATGAGGATCTGACCAGTTGTAGTGGAAGGTCGCGTCAGGGGTCATCCGGGCGATTTTTGACACTATGACCTCAGACATTAAATTTTGTTTAACCATTCAACGTCGATGTTTCTTGTGGGATACTATCAGTTCCATGCACCGCACGCCAAGAACTAGCCGTGACAGACCGTTTCATTGGCTAATCCCTCACGTCAACAAGGACGCGGGTTATTTAACAACTCCTCCAGATCCTAGTGTAGAAAAGACAAGTAAAACGAAATTTAGAACTTTAAAAAGCGAAACGAAATAGGATCTGTGTTTTAATCAGATTGAGAATAATGTAAGAGGTTAAATCTAAATCACAATTTATTAATCTCAAATAATCTGAAATGTATTTCTAATCTATCATTTCGGTACTTTTAACACATTGCACCACACTGAAACAACACAACCACGGAGAAGAGCCCACACCTCCGAAAACCTACAAATGGTAGCATAAGCTCACGGTTTTTTTTAAGTTCCCTGCCAATCTATATGCCTTCGAGACTGGCATGTGTGCAAATGTCGATAGAATGAGAGGAAAAAAACCCGTGGTCCTTCCAGATTAGACACGGCGTAACCCTAGAAATAAAAATTACCATATTTATGTTGATCTCAAAATGGTCGAAGCATTGTGATGACGATTGATTCGTTTCCTTCATTTATACATACATGCTGTACTTCTAAAAGATGTCGGACGACGAAAAATTTATCAAAAATCGATGGTATTCGATTTATAAATACATGCAATAATAAAGTTAAAGGGATCATCCTGATTTTAACAGAGTCTCGGAAATAAAAGTCCGTGTATGTATGAAATTTAAGGAATGGCGGATTTACCTTGTCTCAAAATTTCAGCCCAAAATATTGAGTCGTTTGGATCTGAACGACAAAATCGCTTATCGACGGACACGTAACCCTTTAAAGATTTCGGGTCAATTCTTTCGCTGGGTGACCTGATAATCTATTGCCGTTCCTTTAGAGGTCTACACGTTATTTTTATAAACTAAAACTCTGGTTTTATCTAGCTACGCGAACGTAGCTAAAAACGTTGAGATATACAGATGCGCTTGTTTTTATCTACGATTGGGTGCCTTTAGTTCCAAGTGGCAAATTCAATTTCTTTATTAATGCATGTAACATATTAAAATAAGATACTATTATTCTATTATGACTTATTAAACTTACTGAGGCCAATGTAGTGGCACAACTATCGCCCGACTTCAAATATTCGCGTTTAAATTAATGAAGCGTTGTTTT